ATAATTTCTGAAGTAACGTCAATATTTGGATGAAAATTGGTGTCTCATAGTTTTTTGACATGAGAAATTTGATTTTGATGTCATTATGACTCCTATTTGTAGAGAGCGCCACCTACATGTGTTTTAACTGTTTTGAAGCGTAATAACTTTTTGTCCGTACCTGTATAAAACTATCGAGGGAAAAAATATACATCTCTGTGATTTTTACGTAAAAAATATCTCTTTGTAAAAATCGCTACGAGCAACCGTTCTTAAGATATTTAGAATGGAAATAGTCAATACATGCCATTATTGACGAAAAATTAACACGTTGAGTAGATAGTTATTTCACTGAAATAATAAATTTGGGAAATTTTTATTTTTTTTAAATTAATAAAATGTTAAATGATAAAAAACTGTTAATGATAAAACAGTTTTTGTTGAACTTTTGGCACAAAATCATTTCAAATTTATGATCTCAGTCTAATAAATATTTAGTCAACATGTTTAATTTATGTCAGTGATGACAGGTATTGATTATTTCGATTCCAAATATCTCGAAAACCATTACTCGTAGCGATTTTTACCTTTTTTACGAAGAAATCGTCGAAAATGTATATTTTTTTACTCAGTAGTTTTATACAGGTACGGACAAAAAGTTATTACTCTTCAAACAAGTTAAAAAATATGTAGGTGGCGCTCTCACCAGTAGGAGTCATATTGACATCAAAATTAAATTCCTCATGTCAAAAACTCCAGACACCAATTTTCATCCAAGTATTGACGTTACTTCAAAATTATTTGGAAAAAATCGAAATAAAAATGAAACTTCTACACCCTGTATCTCCGAAACTAAGCATTTTTGGACATACATTTATACGAACTTTACTTATTTTTATCTGCAGAATATGCCGCCGAAGTTTCCGGAATACAGTTCAGACCACCCTGTATATATGTTTTCTCCGTTAACCGCGGTGTTCGCGTCAAATTCGTCTACCTTTTTTCAAAGGGAGCTCGAAAAAATATTGCAACGAGGCCCCCAGTTGTGAATCTACGCTACCGTATTCTTAATATACATTTAGATCGAGAGTATTTAAATTTACCTAATGCTAATCATTCTTTTTTGTTGCCAGTCAGTCATATTTATTAATTATTAATAAAAGAATAGTGGATAAAACTATACAGGGTGAGTCTTAAATAAGTGCAAATATTTTCAGGGGTGGTATATTTCGACCCCAGGAACACGTCTGAGGTTTTTTTTGCAAAAAAAGATGTTCAAAATCGAGCATTTTCTTTTAAATTTTCCTGTATATTTTAGAAAAATTTTTAGAACTTCCTGTTCACCGCAAATTTTCCCACGGTATAGTTTCTTAATCTCTGATATTACGACACTAAAAGAGATGCAAATACCGAAAAATTGAGGTGGCTCAAAATTTTTTAAAAATAAATCTATTTTTTTAAATTTCCAAACTTTAATAACTCGATTGTACTTATTTGAAACTCGATAAAGAGAATATATTATGTTTATTTTATTGAGATCTACCAGCCCTGAAAATATTTGCACTTATAGACTCACCTTGTATAATCAAAATTTTCAAACCGAACAAACAACATATGATTATTAAAAATTAGTGTCCTAGAGAAAGACATTTTACAATAGTTATTTTACAAATTGGTGTTTATGTTAAAAGCAACTGACGATTTTACTGATGCAAATTGATTAGTTAGTTATGGATCACTAAGGATCTTACGTCACTTTAGTTAGAAGATTAACCATTTAATTTTTGCTAATCCAATCTTTTTTGAGCTCTGATCGGGACCGGTCCACCGGCCCATCTTTCCACCGGCCCACCGGGAATTTTCCCATTCTCCCATATGGCCCATCCACCCCTGCAAAACATTTGGGTTTTGACAATTATTTATGTTGTTTGTAATGAAACGATATTTTTATTTAGGTATTGATATATTTCAGAAAGGGATTTAAGGATTAAAAGATTAAAAGATATAATATATTTACTTAATTTCAAGGTATCTGCATGAAAAATCAAGGCTATTTTTATAAGGTGTTATGATTATGAATATTTAAATATTTAAACAAACCTAAAATATAACAAAATAACGTTGAACTACCCTCTATTAATTGTTTCTTTTTTAATTATGTTTATTTTTGCTTCTAATCATTATTAGTTATTATTATTAAGAATGGTGTTTTTTATATCAAGTTTAGCTGCAAATATATAACGTTAATTATGTTTTATATGTGGTGTTATCATTTCCAATGTCTCTGGATGGTTGCAGCGATTGCGAAATCTGTCAGTTTTTTTTTTAGAAATAGATCTGTGTGTCTGGAAACGTTCTATTTTGTTAATGTTTCTATAATTAATGTTAATTTTTGACAAGTTTTATGTTAATGCATGTTTAGTATACCTGAATGACGTCTAGAGATTGACCTCGCTAAAATTATCATCTAGTGTCAATCACTAGCAGTCTTTGACGCCTTTTTTCGATAATAGGGTATATTTCACTTTTAATTAACACAATTTATACAGCATTTTCTTTTCAGAAAGCAAATTAAAGTCTAATTCGTGTATTATACGTGATATGACACGTATTATGTGTGTTTCCTGACAGTCTGCTAAAATTGCATAATACCATCCTACGTGACATCCCCACAAAGGTTGTCATATAGGCTAGGGCACGAATACCTCCTCGAATTGTTTTACCTAAGGTCATATTGAAAGCCGATGTAGCGAAATAATCAATCTATACATATAGCACTGACACAAGTCCAACTAATAGGATGTCCCCTTATTACAATATTAACGTGCACATGTTGAAACAATAGGCCTATTTCTGACACAATGGCCGACCTGCCATTCGACACGCAAAATTAATAATCAAAACAAAAAGTTATTAATATCGGGGAATGCGAGCCCGCAAGTGGCACTTCTATTTTAATTACCGGTCATTCTATCGAATTTGCCAATGAATTCGCGCAAATGACCAAATTGCCACCACCCCCAAGGCTTGCCGGACTTTTATAAATTGAAGTAATTTGGCTAACGCTTTTTTTAATTTTTATTTTTCATTTCCGTTTCGCGATAATTTTTTTTCGTCTGCAACCCTTTTTTCTAAATTAATTTCACTGTCACCAATTTTTATTGCATTTACACTATATACCTTCAGGTGAAAAAAATTATTGTTCTCCCTTCAGTTATTTATAATTTTTTACACCCTGATGTAATAATAAACAAGACTGGTCTTGGTCTTGTTCTTGCATTTTTTACGCATTTAAGCGATATAATAAATTACATATGAAGGGTCCAGTGGAAAAACATGATGACATTTTGCTTCTACCTCGAGAAAAAAACTTTGTTAAAAATAGTGAAAAAAAAATAATTTCAATGACTGAAAATTTGTATATTTATGTAAAATTAATGAAAACAACGTTTCATGAAGAACAGTCTATCGTCTTAAAAATAATTATTATTTTCGTATAAAAAATAACTCTCGTCAACATCAAGCCTATTAATCAATTAAGCTATAAAGCAGATCTAAATATTATTCGGGAAAAGAATACACCCCAGATCACTGATCGATTGCTAATCATCAATCATCCGAATTAAAGGACATACCAAAGCAAATGGAGGGGTAGTTTCTAGAGGTGTATCATTTATCCTGGAAGAAGTATAGATTCTTGGAAAAGGGACATTTTTTGTCGCTGTACATTAAAGATATTAGGTATAGGACGCCAAGATTTATTAACTTCCTATTCAAATTGGCAAAAAAGCTCTTTTAAGATATTGTTTATATACGCTTTGCATTATTTATCTTTATATCAGTCATTTTTTGTCAAGATATTTTATATTTATGTTAATTCCAGTTATAAATCAAGTTATATTCGCTGATTTGAAGATAGAAACAGGATATTAATATTAACTAATTATAGAATGTGTAAATATAAACCGTTTTGCTTAAAAAGAGTTCAAAAAATTATTATATTTTTCAAAATATTAAACAGTTATTGTATATTTTAAATGTGCTAAGTTATAAAAAAATACATATCCAAAACAGTTGAGCGTTTAAATATTTATATATTCCACCATAAATTTTTCAACAAATGCTGAAATTTTCATAATTCTGTGACTATTAATTTTCTAGCTACTCCAAAAATTCTTTGAAAAACCATGCAAAAATAACGATTTTTCAACTTTTTCAATCAATAAAATTTGCCTATGTTGGTAAAATTGCCGGATTCTGATAAAACTACTTTTATTAAAAACTAAAAGGCAAATATAAAAAAAAATAGTAGCCATTTTGGCCTGATAATGATAAAAATAATTCTGTGTATTATAAGTCGTGTTTTACTACAGCTTCGTAATTTCTAAGTGAGCATATTTGAGAAAATAATTGGATTTTAAGAGATAACAATATAGTAGACATTTATATAATAGTAAAATAGATTTAATAATAAAATATAACAGATTACTTACCCTGAGTAATCTCCATGGTCTTTTCGTACACTAAATCACAATGGGTAAAGTTTTATATTTGACACAATAGATTAGTAACTAAATAATATGCAAATAAAGTTAAAAAAATTATACCTAATTATAACACGCAAAAGTAAAATAAAACATGTAAAACAGACGATTTTAGTAAAAATTAGTAGGCTATGCTTTTTAATCTTTTATCTATGGCTTTAGTATATATTTTTTCTAATTTCGCCAATAGAAAGAATGAACAAAAAACTTTCAATGTTTTTATTTCTTTTTTAAAGAAAATACCTTCTATTTTTTTTCCTTGTAAAATCCATGATCTGCCCTCTATGAACAGCTTGTCGTACTATTTTTAAAAATACAGACAACTTTTATTTTAGAAATGATTATTTTTCTATACTATTTACTCCATATAATATCTCAAAGATATTACATTAATATTATTTGTAAAACTAGATGAAAATAAATAATTATTTCTGGCATAAATTCATATAAATTTGGGAGTGGCGATAAGAGAAAAATTGAGGTTAAAAACGTTAGCTGTCAAGTTTTGTTTTGTACACTTTGAAAGCCTCATAATTAAAAAGCCGATTTTCTCAAAAATGACTGCTTAAATTAAGTACTAGAGAATATATACTACTTAGAGAATATTTATATAACAAACTTAACTAAGCAGTTGTTACTCAATGTGTGTAAATGGCCACAAATTTCTTTATTTTTATTAGTGACAATTTGACAAGTGCCAGCTCACCTCCATATATTTACTAATACGTGTTATAATATCCCAAATTTAAATAAATTAACAAGACAAATGGCTTTCGAGGGAGGAAATACAAACGTAGAACTATCATCCTCTTTAATTGAACACCTTCAAGCAGATTTCAAGACCCTAGCTTCAGAATCCAAGAAGAAATATCCTCAAGTTAAAGAGGTAAACATTCGCAATGATTGGTATATCATTATGAAACTAAGCTTTTTAATCATTCTAGGCTTCCGAGGAGGCTATATCAAAGCTGAAGAATGCTGTGGCAACACCTCAAACCAATGTCTATTATCTCATAAATCAAATTATTTATCCTATCTCACAAGGTTGCGAAACCAAAGATGTTAAACTTATTAAGGTAACTATATATAACTTTCATATACTGAGATAAATAAAGAATTAAGTTATTGTTGTTTTTTATAGGTATGTCTGCAAATTATGCAGAAACTAATAACAAATCAACTGATTGATCAAAAAGGAGCTGTGTATGTTACCGATGCCCTTTGGTCATTAATGGAGTCCGGTATTGAGGAAGTAAGAATTTTGCAGTCAATTCTGTTACTGCTCACTACAAATACAGTAGTTCATGGTGAAACCCTAGCAAGAGTAATTCTGTTAATAATTTTAAACTAGCACCTTATTTAAATATATATTTTTTCTAGACTCTAGTTCTCTGTTTTCGTCTACACTTTGCAAAAAATTCTACAACAATAAACACGGCCGGTGCTACAGTAAGACAGTTGGTATATTTAGTTTTTGAAAGAGTGGTAGCTGAAGACGAACATTTATCTAAAATAGATAAGCCTGAGAAACTTCCTGTTAATTTTGAAGAACTTAAGTCACCCAGTGGTGCTCCCCCTAAAGGTAAATATTTTATATCAAATACTAATTCTTATGTTATGTTTTTTGTGTCTTTTAGGACTACCTCCCTGTGCAGGCGATGCTTACCTATTGTTTCAAGACTTGGTGCAGTTAGTCAATGCTGATCAACCATACTGGCTTATTGGCATGACAGAAATGACTAGAACTTTTGGATTAGCTTTACTAGAGTCAGTTTTAACACAATTTTATTCTGTATTTTATAAAGTAAGTTCTATAGTTTGTTTTTAATATGTCAATTTAAATTATTGTTTAGTTTCCAGAGTTCAGCTTCTTGTTGAAAGAGCGAGTGTGTGCTTTAGTTATAAAACTATTTTCACCAAATATTAAGTATAGGAGTAATGTCCCAAACAATGTACAACAAGCAACATCATTTGAAAAGCCTTATTTTCCTATAAGTATGAGATTATTAAGGGTTGTGTCCATATTAATACAAAAATATCACAGTCTTTTAGTAAGTATAGATATATTTGCCAATTTAATGCAGTTCTCATTAGTGTATTATTTTTTACAGGTAACTGAATGTGAAATATTCCTCTCTCTTATAGTGAAATTTCTTGATCCAGATAAGCCAACATGGCAACGATCTTTAGCGTTGGAAGTACTACATAAAATGACTATACAGCCTGAACTTCTGGTCTCATTTTGTGAATGCTATGATTTGAACAAACACACTACTAGTATTTTTCAAGATATTGTCAATTCATTGGGGGCCTATGTTCAATCACTTTTTGTCAGCCAACAGTTGCATATGGGTGCTTCCAGTAAGCACAATAAAAATAGTGTATTTGTGTATTTTATTTACTATATTTTTTTTTTTAGTGCCAGTGACTCAAACTCAACCGCCAGTATATTTAGCAGGCTTGCCAGCTGGTCCAGGTATTTCCCCACAACCTGGATTTCTCTTGAGAGGAGTATGGCTTACTCTTGTCGCAACATTCCCTACTGGTCAAGCAAAATCCACATAGTAAGGTTTATAAAATTATCTGAATAATTAAAATTTTTGTTTCTATATTTATAGTCTGGAAATGTTGGAGAAAGTTGAACCACCTGTAATTCCTGATGGGTATGGAATATCAGTAGCTTATGCATGTTTAATGGAAATTATCAGATCTCTCAAAATCACCATAAGTCCAGAAAAGCAGCCCGACACGCCTGAAGAACCTCCAAGAAAAGAAAACAGCAAGGAACTGAACTGTCAACTGATCAATTCAAGTTGGTGTGGTCTTTTATCTGCTCTCAGTCCTTTGGTCGATGCCAGTACAGATGAGTCTATTACAGAAAACATCCTAAAGTCAATGCAAACTTACACTTCTCTTTGTGGTTTACTAGATTTACAGACGCCTAGAGATGCTTTTATTACTGCTATTTGCAAATCCTCCCTTCCACCTCATTATGCCCTAACCGTCCTTAACACTGTATCCTCTGGTATTACCTTAAGACAGGGTCAAGTAGGGGAAGTTCATAATGTTTTAATGCAATATGGTGAAAATGATTTTCGACAACAGGTTGTTGCAGTTGGCACTCCTTTACCTACATCATCAGTTCCTGCTGGTACTCAGCAGGGCCCAGTTATGCTTACTTCAAAAAACCTGCAGTCTATGAGAGCCCTATTGAGCCTTGCTCATTGTCATGGTAGTATTTTAGGGACTTCCTGGCATCTTGTTTTAACGACATTGCAGCATTTAGTATGGATTCTCGGTAATTATTATATACATAAACCATAATATTTTTTTATCTAATAATTTTATTCTAGGTTTAAAACCATCTACAGGAGGTAGTTTGAAAGCTGGTAGAACTTCCTCAGACACAAATGCAGTGATAACAACTTCAGTAATGGCTGATTTGCCAGTACTTTCTACAATGCTGAGTAGACTGTTTGAATCCAGCCAGTTTCTAGATGACGTAGCTCTTCATCATTTAATAAATGCTTTATGTAAACTGTCACAAGAAGCTATGGAGTTGGCTTATTCTAACAGAGAGCCTTCATTATTTGCTGTTGCTAAATTACTAGAGACAGGTAAACAGTGTTCTTTAAATTAAAATTTAATACAGAAAACTTAATCTCATATATTATTAGGTTTAGTAAATATGTCTCGCGTAGAAGTTCTTTGGAGACCTTTAACAAATCATTTATTGGAAGTTTGTCATCATCCACATATCCGCATGAGGGAGTGGGGCGTTGAAGCTATAACATACCTTGTGAAGGCAGCTCTTCACTACAAGCATGCTGTACCACTGAAAGAAAATCAAAAACTGCAAACTCTCTTGCTTGGGCCGCTGTATGAATTGTCTTCAGTTCCTCATGGAGATGTTAGACAAAGACAATTAGAGTGTGTTTTACAAATACTTCACACCAATGGCGACATACTTTCTCATGGCTCGCCATTGATTCTTGGAATTATTGGGGCTGTTAATGACCAACATGGAGAAAATTTAATAAGGATAGCTTTTCAGGGTCTTCAGCTGGTGATAACTGACTTCCTACCTTTAATGCCATGGAGGTGTTTGCCTCAATGTGTAGACACTGTTGCTAAATTTGGTAGCCAAACTCAAGAATTAAACATATCTCTTACATCTGTAGGCTTAATGGTGAGTTCTTAACTGTTCGTTAAAGCTCCATCTACACACGACATTTTACATGTCAGTCCTACCTGCTCAGGCAAAACTTATCAAGTAAAACATCTTAGATGAAATAACAGTCTGTTTTAATTGAACCGACATTGAGTTTTACAACTGGTGCTTTTTTTCGCCTAGACACATGGTTTTACTTTGGTACAATTTTACTGAACAGGTAAAATTTTATGTGTAGGGATCTTAAAAAATTATGTTAAAATATTACATATTATATTTCTTTTTAGTGGAATATATCAGATTATTTCCATCAAAATCAAGGTAAATTAAGTGAGACGCTCAGTGACGATAGTACAGTATTGCCAAATTTCCCTGGTACACCAGATATGCCAAGTTTTGACAAACTTTGGATGTGTCTTTATGGCAGGCTAGGAGAACTTTGCGTAGACAGTCGTCCAGCTGTGAGAAAATCGGCTAGTCAAACTTTATTCTCAACCATTTCTGCTCATGGAGGTCTACTGAAACAGTCAACATGGGAAGTGATGATCTGGCGAGTTTTATTCCCACTCTTGGATAAAGTTAAAAACGACTCAAACAACGCGAGCAACGAGAAAGTGGACGCAGGAGGAAACATTCTAATACATCACTCGAGAAATACTGCTCAAAAGCAGTGGTCTGAAACTCAAGTGCTCACGCTCTCTGGAGTTGCCAGAGTGTTTAACACAAAAAGACAGCTCCTACAATCACTAGGCGATTTCCCAAGAGCTTGGTCAATACTCTTAGAGTTCATTGAAAACGCAGCTTTAAGTAAAAATAATGAAGTGAGCATTGCAGCTCTAAAATCGTTCCAAGAAATTCTTTTTAACAGCAAAAATCAAAGCAGTGACAATAAAATCGCGTCAGACGACAAAGAAATATGGAGCGTCACCTGGAGGATATGGCTGAAAATTGGAACTGACGTTACAGTTCCTATAAAAGGCATTGAAAACCAAAACAGTGAGAATTTTTTCTTGCCAAGTCAAACATTTTTGACCGCCCTTGTTCAGATATTTCCCAATATTTTTCACCATATTAAAAGCAGCTTTACTCTAGAAGATTTGAACCAACTTGGGGTAGTTTTAACCAATGCAGTATGTGTTCCAGTGTTTGGAGAAACATCTCCTTATATAATTTCTGTAGCTTCTGATGTAAGCTTGACTCCCTTACATGGAGGTGTTCTCCATGCCATGGAACTTTTGCAAAAAGAAGCCCTTCAAAGGAACAACAGTAAAATGATTCCAGAAATATTTAAACTATTATTGGTGTTCTCAAAATTTACCTGTTCCACTCCTAGCTATACAAAAATGGAAAATAGACATACCAAGGTGTCTGACTGGGTGACAATGAATTATATTCCATTTGGAGAGAAAGCTACTAATATGGTTGTTAGTTTGTATGAAAAAACTGCAGATAGTACTGAAGTGATTAATGGAAATATACTAAAAGAAATAATAGGCACCCTGCATACTCCCTTAGGTTTAAAATACAACTGCGTCTCTAGTAGTGTATGGAAATTAGCTGCAAGTAGTCTAATATCTGTTTTAAAAGTAGGTCTAAAAGTAGCCAGATCTCATGGAAATCAGTTTTCGAAAATGTGGAATGAACTAGCAGAAACGTTGAATGATTTCTTATTTCCCACTAAGTAAGTTATTTGTATAAGTATATAATTATTATTTGTATAGGTATATAATTATTATTTGTATAAGTATATGTCAGAATCTGTAGCCCAACCTTAGAATGTGATTCTTTGAGTGATTTTAAGACAAAAGAGTTTATATAAACATCTTACTAGAACTTAGTATTGATAATGTTTTAATAGTAATAGTTAAATACTTTCATAAAATTTTAATGTTACAGATGGTTTTAAATTTAAACTGACACTTTTGTAATTGCTTTATTTGTTTTAGTTGTGCTCCTAGTCCAGGAGATAAAGGTTTAGATGAGATGGTGTCTGATGAACAAACTGATTGTCAAATAATAGAGCTACTAAGAACTGAAGTCCTCCCATACTCAAATAGCATACCAAAAGAGTTTATAATGCAAGTAGTTATTCTTTTAAATAAAGGCTCTATCCATTCAGCAACCAATGTCAAAAATGATGGCGATGTTGAGTTGACTCTAAGGGAGGATTTTGCCAAAACATGCTTCGAGACATTGCTTCAATTTTCGTTAATTGACGGAGACTACAATAATCTTGTTATAAACAATGATGAAAAAAGTAATGGATTAGCTGGACAACTTGCTGTAACATCTTTGTTACATCGTTTTGAAGAGGTACTTAAGAAGTACATTGAAGATGAGAAATTAAGTGGAAAATGCCCACTACCCAGGTAAATAATTGTATAATTGATCAGGAGATAGAGACTGATTTATAATTTATATGTTTTATTTTATAGGTACCGCCTTTCAGAAATCTCCTTTGTCCTGAAAGCTCTAACAACCCTTATCATATCTATGAAAAAATCTACTGCAGTTAAAGGTAATATTGATGATATGAAAAAAATACTTCATTATTATTTTTATTCTTGTATTTTTCAGATGACAATAAAGCATGGGAACAGTTAATTTCTTTATATCCATATTTGGTGGAATGTACAACCACCACATCAATTCAAGTATCTAGACCCTTAAGGGAGGCACTTCTACAGTTCTGTGATTTACTTCAACCCCCTAGCAGCAAAAACAATTTGGTGAAAAATTCAGTTATTTAATAGACAAAAAACGATTAATATTAGCTTGTTTTTCTTTGAGAAAAAAAAACTGTGCGAAGCAATATGACATTTTTTAAAGTTGCGTTGATCAAATTAGCCCAGACATTTTTCTATATTATTTGACATAGTTTTTTTTTATCTGTATAAAGTTCCATACAATTTTATTGTGCATGTACCTGTACCAGTAAAATGTCATATCCATTGCTATGATAATTTAAATATTATTTCGTTTTGAAGGATTTGCTATTTGATCTGCTTCTATATATAGTATATTGAAATGAATTTGTAATTAAATTCAGCAGATTTTTAACAGGATATATTTATTTTGTACTATAAATATCTTTTATGTTGTTATTATAAACTTGTTTTGTTTATTCTTCGCGCAAAAGAAATCTGATTATTTTGAAGAAAGATACATAAGTAAGACAAAATATATATGTATATCCAGTTATATTTATTTTTCATGCAAATATTTTCCACGATTTTTCTGCACTGTAACACATTCCACTAAGTTTCTTATTCCTTTCTATAATAAAAGTATATAAGTAAAATTTAAAAAAACTGCCATTAGTGCCATTAATACTTCTGTTGATTATATTTTATCTGAAACTATGCACTTTTCAAAGTAATTCGTTTTATTTCAAATTAAAATATATTTATCTTTTTTTTTGATAAAAATATCTTCTATATGAAGCAGAGCGCTCTGATTAAAAGAGAAGTACAAGTCAATATGTATATTAATATAATATAATCAAATATAGTTTTAAAGGAGAATATTCGAGATAATCAGAATTTCTTTTGTACGTAAATAAACTAAAAACTCTTAGGAGTTTTTTTTGCGAAAGTATTAATATAATTTTAGCGCTTTTAGTTTCCTTTCTATTACAGACTTATGGATTTCTGTAAAAATGTGATTTGTAGAACTAAGCTCTGTTGTTTTGTTTATAAGAATTTGTTATCCGTATCTATGTTTAAGTTTCTTATAATGTTCGTAGAATATGAATATATTAATATATAACAATCTAGTTGTTTTATTTGTCGTAAGAAACCCCAGTAACTAAAAGAATAATGTATTTAACATTAAAATAGAAAATAATAGTAATTTTATGAGCACTTATTGAAGCTAGACTATCTTATGGTGTTTTCTTTTTAATTCTGAAACATTACTTTTAAGTTTTACTGTATTTCAGAAGTATTTAAGCTATAAAATCTACATAAAATCGATATGCTCTCGCCAGCTTACGTCGCGATAGCGCAACTCCAGTACATACTTCTCAGATTTCTGTATATCTCTATCCATGTTTGGTTTAGATTCACTTTTCTATGATCTAGATGTCGCTAATGTAGGCTTTCTGTATTCCCCCTTAAAGAATAAGGTAATACAATTTGAATAAAATATTTATACCAGTTTAAAAGAAAATATGTTGGCCTCGAGTAAAATTGTTATTACAAATCCACACAGCTGATTGTTTTATTATCATACTTTATCTCGATTTTTTGAACAGTTGAGTACTATAAATGCAGATAATTAAATGAAAATTCTTGTTCAACAAACACTTGAAACTATTTTCAACTAAAAGTAAACATAATATATTATGTATGTCTACTCTTTAAAAGAGTGCAACTTCCTCAGGAAACAACTTTTTCTTATATTTTTATTTGAAGTATCTCCAAAGAAGTATTATTTTAAACCATATATGTTTAATAATTCATTAAGATTACAAGTAAGGGTTGGATTGGTGTTAACACACCAAAATAAGACACTATAGTTCACCACGATACACCAAAACACTTTACTTTTGCATTGGACGCCCGTTTCAATATCCAGCAACAATAAAAAGATAAAACTAAGAATAAACGGGATAGCGAAACGCGCGTCTAAAAACGTAAAACGATAGCGATAGCGAAACGTGCAAAATAAAGTATTTTGGTGAACTATAGTGTTTTATTTTCCACTTTTATTAAGAACCCAAAAAAGACTCCATCTATCATATGATTGTCAAATAATAGAGCTACTAAGAACTGAAGTCCTCCCATACTCAAATAGCATACCAAAAGAGTTTATAATGCAAGTAGTTATTCTTTTAAATAAAGGCTCTATTCATTCAGCAACCAATGTCAAAAATGATGGCGATGTTGAGTTGACTCTAAGGGAGGATTTTGCCAAAACATGCTTCGAGACATGCTTCAATTTTCGTTAATTGACGGAGACTACAATAATGATGAAAAAAGTAATGGATTAGCTGGACGACTTGCTGTAACATCTTTGTTACATCGTTTTGAAGAGGTACTTAAGAAGTACATTGAAGATGAGAAATTAAGTAGAAAGTGCCCACTGCCCAAGTAAATAATTGTATAATTGATCAGGAGATGGAGAATGATTTTTAATCGACTGATTTTTAAACGTGCAAAAAAAAGTATTTTGGTGAACTAGTGTTTTATTTTCCACTTTTATTAAGAACCCAAAAAAGACTCCATCTAGGAATCTAGGCGATATATAAAATATATAACAATATATTTTTATTGGAGGATACGTATGGACGGTACAGAGGACATTAACACAATCTCAAATGGGCTTTCAATTTCAATTTAAATGGTAAAATTTGCAACGGGACACTTAGTCCAACGGAGGGCATAAATAATGTCATAATATGCCTGGCGTATATACCTACAACAAGAGCATATATTTGCCGAGTTCCGGGCCTTGTTCCGGGCAAAATTGTCCCGGAAAACACGTCAGAATATTATGCGATCGCAGAAACAAAACAATTTTTGTTAATTTAGTGAAAAACACACGCTATGCGGCCGCATACAGCAACGGACAAAATTACACCACCTTTGTCATTTTTATTACTTTATATAAAACATATTTTAGTTCATTTACAACTTGTATTCCGGTATATGAGTAAAATATTTAATTAGACTGTAGGTTGTGTGGGAGGGGGAAAAGTTAATCACCTCGACCCTATAGATCTGTTGTGTCCCCCTTTCTTGAGTTATGACTCATCATACAGACTCAGGGCTTTGATAAAAGCCAGTATCTGAGACGGTTTTACAGAGATTAGTTCTCCATCTCCGACATCAATCGTACCAAAGTGGCACGAATGGTTATGGTCCCGGCGCACTCAGTGATGAGGTGTTCTGGTGTTTCCCCATTTCCCCCCAGAGTCTGCATTCGCCGTTGTTTCTTATCTTCAATCTGGTGTTCTTTCAGGAGACAGTGTCCTGTTATAAACCCCGTGACAATCCGAAGATTGTTCTTACTTAAATCAAAGAAAATTTTTGATTTTTCTCGGTCTTATTTTATTAAAATAAAATAAATAAAGACAAGTCCGAAATTCCTTTAGTTTCAATACTGAATCATTGTCTACCACATTCAAAGAAGAATTATTGTTCTTAGTACAAAATAATTTAAAAATTAAAATATAACCATAACAAAAGAACTTTTGGCTAATGTGTTAATAGACGGAGAGCATAACCAAGCTTTCCGAAATAAAATTACCCTGCAGATATTTGTACATAAAAAACCTTATCATCGTTACATGGCTGATTTTTTGTGTGAAGTATCCTTTTGTGTAGCCATTGTGAAATAGTCATGTCTGCCAGCGCGATCCCGGGGCTTAGAGCGGGGGCGGCCAATCGAAAGGGTAAAATTTTGACACTAAAAATATTATAAGGTACACGAGTTATAATTGCCAAATAGCTTTTTATTTAATATTAAGAAACGTGTAAAATTGTTGACAGACATTTTTCTCGTGGCTGAAATGCCGGCAGACAACGCGAAAGAGGCATAGAATTTTGACAATATAATCGTATACTATATGATTTATCTATACATAAATGGATTCAGCTTCTCTGAAAGCTCTAGAGTAATATCGCGCTTTTGATAACTGTCTGGAGCTGATTTAGTCACGATCTTTTTGTCTGCCCTTTTGCATACGGCTTTTCAAATAAATAAATATATGACATTTCACCAATCGGCATGCAAATATGCCATATTTTATTTCATTCTTCAAATTTCATTTTTTAATAATTTTTAAAATTTCATGCCTCTTTCGCGTTGTCTGTCGGCATTTTAGCGACTAGAAAAATGTCTGCCAACAATTTTCCGCGTTTCTTAATAATAAATAAAAGCTGTTTTTGCAATTATAACTCGTGTATCTTATAATATTTTTAGTGTAAAAATTTCACCCTTTCGATTGGCCGCCTCCGCTTTAAGCTCCGAGATCGCGCTGGCAGACATGACTATTTCATAATGGCTACACAAAACGATACTTCACACAAAAAATTAGCCATGTAATGATGATAAGCTTTTTTATGTAGCCAGCTCTTAGACTATAACTTTGATTATTCAGAATCATGTATTATTATGTTTTAAATTAACGGGAATCATATTAAATATTTTAGAGACATTTTTTTAAAGAGTTGTTATTCATTATTATTAATATAACCGCTACTGTATCCGCGATTTTTAAAGCAAAGTTACCATGTCGTTCGAGTAAACATTTTTTGTTACAAACATAAATTTATACAGTACATCTTCTACTATTTACTCCCTTGCCATTTTCAGTTTATCTCAGGTTTGATTTCTCTTTGGGTTATACCGTCGTTTTTGTAAATATTTTAACAACTAATTAGAATATATTTTCTCTGGAATAATTAACATTGCTGATTCGGGCCTATTTTAAGTATCGGCTTCTTAGCCTGGTTTCTGTTTGTCTTATTAATATAACTTCCAGCGTTGTATCATTAGCGTGTTTAATATTCAATTTTTGAATGAGGTATTCCTTATAACTCAAATAATACTTTAAATTAAGAGAAATCTAAATTATCATAGTCAAATTTTAGTATTTCATGACCATGATAACCAAGATATACAAACCAGAAGCAAGCAGAAAAATGCTAGCTTGTTACTTATTCAAAAAATATTGTATTTCATTAAATTATGAAGATTTTTTCGCCACATACCTTTTATTTTGAATATTTATAAATTTTTATCTTATTGAGATATAATAATAAAATTATTTGTTTCTATGTCAATAATTTGTAATAACATCGACTGGGTAAGATCAAAGTTTACAATATTATTTAGTAAACCGTGGTCAGACCAAAATTCGTGGAATTTTTAGGATTTTAGGATTTTGAAATAAAATGATATAATAATTTATTTGCATCTAACACAATGTTTTCTACTTTGCATATTTCTAAAATAATTTAAATAAAAACAAATAAATATAAAAAAATAAATAAAGTAATAAATTAATTAGGTTTATTTTTTAACATTGCCAGGTGTGGAGTTATCGAGGGTCGTTGCAATTTGAGCTGTCGTGGAGTTCTCCTTGTCTGCCTCAATTTCGTCAGTTTCGCTGAAAGCCAGCCCTAATAGATTGCCCAGAAATGCCAACCCCTGTTCCGCAGTCTCATTTACTACAGCCAGCAGGTTCCCATTGATGATTTCCGATTCATTTCTAAAATATTTCAGTCTCTTTATTACCACTTCTCGCTTTTATCTTTCACTGTCATTTTTCACAACCAATTAGTTTTCTATTGGTTTAAATTATAGTATTATTTAATTTAGTTTAACTTGTTATTTACTAGTAGAGTCCAAATTCTTCTGTTTTCTTGATAACTAAATTATACAGGAGGCCCTCAGTTTACGCGGCATATTTATACGCGGTGTTGCTTATATGCTATTACATTTTTGATACCAGGATTTATTAATTCCATTTTAAATATAAAATTAAATAGGAAATATTAAAAAAAAATGAAACAGTTTCGAAAAAAAAATTGGAAAACAGTTATTTTTTAACGAAAATAACTTCATAAATCTGTCGGGTGATATATTTGTACTTTTTTGAGGCATACCCTGTACCTATAATTTAAATACTAAAAAGTTTGTTTCAATATACAAGGTGTTTTCAAGGAACATAACCATAAATCGATGGACTCCTGTTGATATACCTAGGTATATAATAAGTAAATTTTCAAATTCGCCAAAATTTCAAATATAATTAATAAATTTCATTAGTTTAGTTTAGTATGTGTTTTGCTTTTTATTTATTAGAACATAAACATTACTTACTGATTCTCAGTTGCGTCTGTAGCATTTGATACTGTATTTTCAATGGCTGTGGTGTTGTGTTGTTCTAAAATCATACCTTTTGGGCCCATTGTAAAGCAACCTATTCTGAACGTTGTTGTTACTGCGCCTAGTAATTTGGGCTCCAGTAACAAGCATCCTCTCAAACCGTCATTATGCGGTAGCAAATCAGAGAACCTGGCACATATGTCAGCGATATTCGTTAATAATGCCATGCAAGTTGCGTTGGGTTTCGGTCCTTTAACATGCTGGCTGTGCAGCAGACTATCTCCGTAAGACACATTAAGCTTAATACCTTCTTCTTGCGATATATATTCCATCTGGACACATCCTAATTAAAAACAGATTAAAAAGAGCCGTTTAAATTCAATTTATTTACAGCGATCGCTTTAAAACATATTACGCAATATTTAGGCTCTGAATGCAGTTCAGTGAGATAGAGTGGATAAATGAACCAATTTAGAGGCAAAATCCCGTGGAAATCAAAACGGGAAAAATGAAAAATGATATTGTGCATTTTGTTCCAAAAAAATACTGATCACGTAATTTCATTGTAAATCTGCAAAAACTGTGCCATCACGAAAAGCAAAAATGAGTTTTGCATTCTCTAGGGCAATTCGTGCCCCTCTATAACAATCTTTTCTTGGTTATTTTCATAAGATTTTTGCGATTTATTAATGTATTTTTAAGTTTCTAATAAAACATAAATATTATGGATCTTCATAATTTTTCGCGCCTTAACCGATATTATTATTTTATTCAACGGATTTACTAGGGTATGGATATTTAACACTCTGGCTGATTTATGGAATCTTGGTTAAAGGCGTTAGGTTGGTTGGGAATTGTGGTCTGTTGCACGTCCAAAAGAACCCCACCGTTTCGTGAATAATACAAATAACTCAAAATCCCTTTGCCTCTGCCTGAAAGACGGCTAGAGTATTACTATCCCAATGTTATGTATACTTTAGTAACTGACGGGTCAAATGTAAATGAAATTTTGTTTCCAGTTAACGGAATATTTCAAATGCGATGGATTACCTTGCAACATTATTATTGCAGCGCTTCTCTAATGCCAACGAATAAATTTAAAAACAACTAAATTCATCGTTTCACAAAATTTTATTTGTCGCTAACAACAGGAATTGACGTTTTTCGATTTTGATTTTGGTTAAAATGCAGATGATATCATGTTCCGAACAAAAAAAATACAAAAAAACGTTTCTTGAACAAGAGAGGGAAAAAATCAAATTCTATTATTGATTCGATTGCTATTAAACGAGAAATCTGCATCTGCGTGCAGTTAGAATGATTTTATAAATTAATTCATTTTTGTACGCCGGGATATTATATTTGATTTTATTGAATACGATATATCAGCTATTTAAATTAACTAGATTTATAGGAAAATAAATAAATATATGAAATAAGTACGCGCTTAAAACGTGTAATACGAAATGGCAAATTTTATCAATTTTTCTATGTTGATTCTTTTACAATACGTTTTCAAACCGAATTATTATTTAATAAATTTAAGTAATAGCGGTTTAAAGTTATATTTTTAAACTAAAAATATATTTTAAGCTAATGCATATACAGGGTGAGTCTTAAATAAGTACAAATATTTTTAGGAGTAGAATATTTTGACCCCAGAAACACGACTATGAGTTTTTTTTCTCGAAATTTTTTTTCGAAAATTTAGAATTTAAAAAAAAGTTGGATTTTCAAAAACATTAATTTCTTGATAATATGCCAACATTGTGGGTAGATTAAATTTACAAGAAAGAAAACCCAGAAAAGATCCACTGGTTCTCAAAATTTAAGCAAAAAATATTTTTTTTGTAAAATAACTCCGTTATTTTGGACTTATTTATAAAACCATATAATAAGATTCTTTTATCGAGATCCTCCAGCCCTGAAAATATTTGCACTTATTTAAGACTCACCCTGTATATCAAATATATGTTTGTTATTTCAAATACTTTTTTTAACTTTTAAAAAGAATTTGATATATAGGGTGAGCGTTAAATAAGCGTAAATATTTCAAGGGGTAATATATTTCAAACCAAGAAACACGATTATGAGGTTTTTTCGCGAAAATTTGGAATATTTTGAAAAAAAATTGGAACTTTTTTAGTTTTTAGTTAAAAAACATAATTTCTTGATAATATGGCAACATAGGTAGTAGATTAAATTTACAAGATAGAAAACCCGGAAAAGATCCAGAGTGGTTCTCAAAATTTAAGCAAATAATATATATATATTTTTAAATTTAAAGTAAAATAACTCGGTTATTTTGGACTTATTTGAAAAGAAGTAAAGAGAAAATGTGTTTCTTTCATCGAGATCTACCAGCCCTGCAAATATCTGTACTTATTTAAGACTCACCCTATATAAAACAGTACTTATTTTTACAAAATTAATAACCCTGTACATTGGGTTCTAGATATTTAAGCATATCAGGAAAATACTTGTTATAAGTTTCTTATAATTTTTCTTAGAAAAACTATTTCAACGCCTACCATGCCGTCGTTTTAATTTGATCATGCATTAAATTTTGTAATTAGTTTAGCAATGACGAAATTATATCCCGTTTGTGTAAGAAAGTATTATTTATATATAACGTGAAGAAATAATATTCTTGAAGAATCTGAGAAACTGGTGGATCGATATAGAAAGAAAAACTAGTAAGAAGGTAGAGCAAAGTACATCGTGAAAGCATAATAACACAGTGTCAAGAGGAAATCAATCAAGTTTCTTGAGCGGCTTGCCATACATCATCAAAACATAAATTCACACCACGTTAAAAGTAATAATGATGTTAGGTGTTGGGAGTCAATATTGATCAGGACAGGAAGGGAGAACTGAATTTCCTTTGAATTTTAAATTTACGTTTTTAGAAACGACCTAGAAAATTTGTATTGTCGTACGCCATTGTCATACCGATCATTTACATTCATATCTTTCAGCGAGAGAGTGACTTTACGTATATATTTATACGTCACAAGACAGATTCGTCGATATCTAGATTATTAAAATTTTATACATTTACATATTTCCTTTCTTCTTTATTTATGTCGCTACGAAAATAATTATGTATTCGCGAATAAATTTAACAAAACACGGTATATTTTTGTTTCACGATCTTTAAACAAGAATTTAAATGAATTTTGACCAGGACAGTGTAGAAGCAATGGATTATATTTGTAAATTTTATTACCTGGTCCTCCTAGATCGATATATGTCAAGTTAAAATCAACACAACATTGACAAGCAGGTCCGGCACAATCACATGTACTAATACCCTCATTGTCTTGTCTAGTTTGAACTTCAGAACTACCTGATCCATCTGCCCATAGGTACTCTGAAAAGAAAAAGAATTCTATAAACATTTTCATTAATTTTTTTTATTTTTTTAAGTAGTTTAATCGGTACATTTCGTGTATCCAGAACTAAACCGTTCTGGGAAAGGTGTAAAACCTAACAGAGCTTTTACATTTCGCGAAACTTTTAATTAAAAGTTTCAAACAATAGGTAGAAATTTTTAGTATTTTCCAGAAAATTGCTGCAGTTTTTCAAGTTGCTTTAATTCTCAATTAAAATTTTAAGCAGCTTCCAAGTTCAAAGTTTCCTTCAAGAAGCTAGCTGTAACAGTCATAATATTATTAGAAAACAATTAAAAATCGGTATAGTCTATTTAATTAAAAGTGAAGTTATTAATTCGATTTATTCAGAAATTTTATAATATAAAAAAAAATAAAATTAAAAAATATGTATTCGAAAAACGAATTGTTTTGGTATGTTTATTATTTTCTCACTTTAGTGGATTATGTAGTTGTGTCTGATTATGTAGATTCTTACGTGAGAGGTAGTAGGTTCCCAGTCATTGATAAATCTAAAATTAGATATCAATAATAATTATTAGATTCACTACGGAGATTCTTTAAAGATACAGTTACCTTCTAAAGTTGTAACCTTTTCAAAATATCTAATAACTTGGAAACTGAACCCTCCATATAGTTTTTTGTCAATTTTTTATTACAGCCTAATACAAAGAACTGCACATTTACCAGGTTATCACAGTGACATAAAATGTGTTCTGTCATTTCTTCATACCATGTGGAGATAGACAACATGTGCACATGGCTTTGTCCGTCAATCCCATCAAATTTAGATGCCTATTCAGTTGACAATATTCTGTTAGTAGACATATTACAGCTGTGATTGTATTCCTGTCTTTAGTTATCAAGTCTGCAGTACATTTTCTCTGCCTTAATGGTTTCCTCACCATTCTAGAAATTTGCTGTCACTCAGTGTTTTGTGGTAATTCTTGTAACTGCTTTTGCATCACCGCTGAAACCCTTCTGCGGCCTATGAATAGCATTAATGAACTTGGTTTAGCAATTTTATCTGCATTTTCGTTGTCCTTGTTACCCAGGCTAACATAAAATTGCTACGCTCACCTAAAGTATTTAGAGCACGTACTCAAGCCCACACTTGTCTAGAATTGACCCCTATGGAACCGAGTGCCCGTAGACGCGTGAATATGACAACTCTGAACGATGTGTTCTTTTCTGCTTCATTAAAACATCCACGTTAAAAATAATTGCCTTTATTTTAGACAGTTAGTTAAAAGGTGTGCTTGAAATAAAGAGGGGCCACAAAAGAATAAAATAAGTGGTAGAATAGAGGTGAAAACGGTTAGGATTATTAGTTAAACTTTGATCAAACTATATATTAGGAGTTTCAAATAATTTATAGAAAATTAAAGTGGTATCGATTAGATTGTTAGGCAGTTTACGTAAAATAACACCCGTTTGGATTAAATGTTATCGCTACTTTACAATTTGTAACCTGATTTATTAGTATGGGTGAGCGTTCAACGCTTCCAGGATGAACCAGAAATATATATCAAAATTTGGAATCCCAGATTAACTGTAGTTCATTAGTATGACAATTGTTATTAAGCACTTCACGTCCATCGACATCCGAGGCGGCCGAATCCACATTATCCGCGATGTTTCCGTTCTGAACCAAACTCCGCTCGCCAGTATTGCTACAGTATTATATTTTACAGGAAACAACATAGATTTACAACAGCAAAGGTGTCGAATTTAATAGTCCGTTAACATACAATATAGTTTCGAAAGCGTTTTCATTAAATAACGGCATCTAAATGTACTGAACAGTCCGACACTTCAAAAGCAATGTTTGCCGTTCCCTTTATACACAAACATTAATCACTGAGAAATATATTTCTCGCCATTTCCATTTTTATTTTTCATTCAACATCCATTCTGTTTTTTCTACTTTAAGTACTTTTATTTACATTTGTCTAGTTTAAATGTGAACACTTCATCAATCCTTGGAATTTTAAATAAAAGTTCATAAACTTTATAAGTAGCTGGAAATTATTGGTAAGATTAGATGTTTCAGGTGGCTACCGGCCTGTTTCTCTGCGACCTTTAGCCTAACAACTTAGAGACTGAACCTTTTATACAGGGTAAGTCCTAAATAAGTGCAAATATTTTCAGGGGTGGTATATTTCGACAACAGGAACACGTCTATGAGTTTTTTTTTCGCAAAAAAAAGATGTTGAAAATCGTGCATTTTGTTATAAATTTATATAATAATAATAATAATAATAAATCGTCTTTATTGTACTATGAAAAAAAGAGAGTTACAATTTGTGGGCGAAGTTTAGCTGTAAGCTATTCTACCATTTTTATATTTTTTTATTTATTACCAATTTCCCTATATATTTTTCGAAAACTTTTTAGAACTGCCTGTTCACCGCAAATTTTCCCACGGTATAATTTCTTAATCTCTGATATTACCATAGTTACAGCTTTTCTTTATGGTTACGGCACTCAAAGGGATGCAAATACCGAAAAAATCAGGTGGCTCTCAAAATTTTTCCAAAAAAATCGTTTTTTTTAATTTTCAAACTTAAATAACTCGGTTATTTTGGACTTATTTAAAAAATGGAAAGGGAAAATATGTGTCTTTTATCGAGATCTACCAGCACTGAAAATATTTGCACTTATTTAAGACTCACCCTGTATAGCTCTTTGCCGATGGACTATCATTATCTAGAACAAAGACCGCACATTTGCCAGGCTCTCACATCTGCATATATTGTGTTCTCTCATTTCTTCCAAAGATTGACATAATCTGCACATAGATTATATAGAAAAATTACACAATATGTGTAATATTACACATTACACATAGTATCTTTTGTCCCTTAATAAGCTCAGGAAACTACGAAAGTATTCTGATATGGTATTTATTTTATGTATTTGGATCAAAAAGTGCCAAAATTTTGCTTGTTTTTGTTAACAAAAATCGGAAAATATTACTATACCGGGTGTTTCTCAAAAGTGGCTCACCTGTATAACTTTTTTATTTTTTTCAGATAATAAAACAAAGTTTAGTATGTTATTATACGGCATAAATCGGGATTGATTGATGTACCTATTCAAATACTTTCGACCGCTTCCTGTTTTACCGGAAATTACTACAACTTTTGGTTTTTAAACCTCAGTATTTTTTTACTTTATTTCATAGAAAATGATATTCTGTATAAAATGACATATGATACGTCAATTTTTGATATTTTTAATTAAAAAATAGCATTTTAAATTTCAATCTAGAAAAATTTCAATCAACTATGACTGGTGTTAAAACCATTTATTTGTAATCAAGGCACTTTGGAAAAATATATTTGATCGTCTAATGTTTTTCGTGCCTTTTCCTGGGCGGTTAAAAATGCCCAAATCGTATTTTTAATCGTAAATCATTTTTTTTTCAAATGGAATGAGGGTGGTTCATTACCATATTTAGAAAAAGCATTTTTCTTACCAATAATTTGATAACACATACTTGGTATTTCCAATCAATTGGTATTGTAGTTACATTTATTTATGGCTATTATTTATTTCATTTATTTATGGCTAATGTATATCATTTATTACTTCTCCAGAGAGTCCAGAGTGAAATTTAAAATGCTATCTTTTTTATTTGAAAATGTCAATAGTTGACATATGATATGTCATTCTATTTAGAATGTCATTTTCCATCATATAAGGTAAAAAACTACCGAGGGTATCATTTAAAAATCAAAAGTTGTTGTCATTTCGGGTGAAGCAGATAGTGACCGAAAATAATTTAAAACGTCAATCAATTCTAATTTATGTCCTATACGGCCTATACCCTCCTATACTAATATATTGTATAATTTTTTTATCTGAAAAAATAAAAAAGCTATAGAGGTGAGCCACTTTTGTGAAACAGCAGGTATCTGAATAATTCCGAATTAAGTAGGTGTTTTTTGAACGTATCTTTTAAACACAATATCATTTTAATTTTTAACGAAGTTGTGAAAGAGCGTTTTCCCCAAAAAAAGCGCTTAAATATACTTCACCCTTAATTAATTCCTGTGATATTTTTAAGCGTATATACTAATCGGCTTAATATAACTCCTGAAGGGAGGAGTCGCTTCAGAATTTAAATGAGGCCAGAATATATTATTATTAATAATCTATAATTTTATTCCCTTGTCAGGGAGATACAAAAAGCAATCGATTGGAGGAAATTGAAAATTGAAAACTTAATAGGTACAAAAAGATTTAATAATTTTGTGATGCATATTGGTCATCTATATTCTGCATCTCAAGAGATTATATCTGATCCTAAATATAGCAAATTAATTTAAATAATTCTCATATAAAGCCTTATTCATGTTCAGTCATATATGTTTTGTGTCATGGTTCGTTATGTGTCACTTAACTAACTGTCAGTTAACTCTCACTTAACTAACAAACAATTACATCCAGTAAGTAAATAGCCAATTATTTAATCCTTTATTAGAAAACATCCAGCTAATTACTCAATTTAGCTAACAGTATTTTAGTTAAGAACTAGTTAGTCGATTAACAGTTAATTAACAGCCATTTAGTTGTCTGGTAACTTTATAGTTAGATAACAGAGAGTTAGTTATTAGCCACTTAGTGAGCATTTTGTTCATTTTTTTGCCAATTATCAAACTGGCTGTTAGAATGTAGAATGTATGGGAGAGGGAAAGTTAATCACTGCTACCTTACAGATTTTTTGAGTCCAACCTTTCTTGAGTTATAACTCACAATACAGCCTCACAGATTTGACAAAAGCCAGTATCTGAGACGGTTTTAGAGAGGTTAATTCTCCATGTCAGCCATCTCGGCCCCTCAGTGATGAGGTGTTCTGGTGTTTTCCCATTTTCCCCACAGAATCTGCATTCGTCGTTGTTTCTTAGCTTCATTTTACTGAGGTGTTCATTGACGAGACAGTGTCCTGTTAAAAACCCCGTGACAATCCGACGATTGTTCTTACTTAAATCAAGGAAAATTTTTGATCTGAAAATGCTTCGAGTGTCTTAAACCGTTGGTGGATTCCCATTCCTGGTTACGGTTGGAGTCTTCCAGACTCTTGAGTTCCACTTTAAGGTTTCCACAGTTTCCACTTGGTTCTGGTCCTGTTAAAGTATTCACTCCTTTTATAATCTCAGACTCACTAAGATCACTTTCTAATCTAAGATCGTTTGACTTTCATTGCCTTTTATCCTTTGGTGGGTTGGTACCCAGAGTAAGAGGACTTTATTTCCTTTGCCTAACTTGTTGAGTTCTCTAGGCATTCTTTGACCAACACCAAATCGATGATTACTGAGTTGATCGTTTTTAATGCTGCTTGTCTATCGGATAAGATGGAGATTCTATATTCTACAACTGCCAATTAGTTAACAGTCACTGGTAATTAACAAACCAGCTATTAACTCACTGGAAGTTAGCTGCCATGTAAACTGAAAAGAAACTGTGTCAGCTGAGATTTGATTATTTTGTTCCCTGATGTTTAAACTCGATTTCAAAAAATATACATAAAATATTGTTCTTGTTAGTTTTATAAATAAAATATTTATTTTCTGATTTTTCATTGTTTTCTATACGCTCTATATTGGGCAAATGATTTATCCTTATTCTTCTCTATTGGATTTTCTGTAAATACAAGTGAGCTCTTGCATATGTCTGGATGTAACTTTTCAATATTCTTTCAATATCTGTATGTACTTGTTCAAAATCGACAATAAACCTAATGCAAACTGTGCGCCATAAACTTCTGGAATATGGCAAATATTCATATTAAATAAAAGAAAGTTTTCGAGCTTCCAAAAGTGGAGAGGAGATCTTTAAAGGCGGTTCTAGAAAATAATTCGATGAAAATTTATTCGTTTGTTAAGAAAGAAATTAAGACGACCGAAGGCCCAGCTCTTTGCCGTTCCTTTGTTTTGTGTTTAGAATGGTCCGGCTTCATAAAAGTTTAATTAAAATGAGAGATTTTGCCTTGTTTTTTTTCCGGAATATATTTTCAAAAAGTTCTCTCTGTCCTGTATTTGATCTTTTCATTTTTAATACTGCAATTTCTCTCTCTTTTATGGAAATTTCTTGAAACAGTAACTTGCGGAAGTGGATCCTAAACATGCGTCAAAAAATTCTCCCCCTCTGAACAGCCCGAAGGTTTATGATTTTCTGACAAACCGAAAAAAAACTTTGCTTTACGACTCCTGAAACGAACACATGTCAATATCAATAGTGCCCTTATTTCTGAGGGTCGAGGATGCGCCTAAGGGCATTTAAGATAATTAACCCCCTTTTCGTTGGCTTTTATTTCAATTTTTTTGCTCGCTGTTCGCTGGCCTCGAAATCACATTTGGCCGGTCGTCTGTACGTTGTCAGTTTATTAATTACACTTCAGCAAACTTAAACTGGCCAAACGTTTGTTGAAAATCTGCTTCATAAGTTTCTCCCGGCCAGAAAAAAAGGCAAACATATTTTAATTAAATTATTTCGTACGGACATAAAGGCTTTTTATGCGGAATTGAAATAACAAATTGAATTTTTGCCCTTTTTTCCCTCTAGTAAGTTGATATAGGTTAATTAAAAGCGCTCGAGATGTCCTAATCATTTTTTAAAAAGAACGCTTTTTTTCTCTGTATAAGGGCGTCGTTTTCAAACTGAAAGGTGTATGTAACGTTTTTGTTTAATCAATTTCCAGTATAACATATTTTAATTAACCCGTCGTTTAATATAAACCTCTTGAAAAACGTTTTTTTTTATAAATAGTTTAATTATAAAATTTTTACTGCCTTAAAATTTATAAATTAAGTGATATCTCATACTGTATTTAAATAAATATGGCGATTGTGTTCATAATATATACAGCGTAAATCTTAAAAAGGTGCACATATTTTCAGGGCTCATAGATCTCGACAAAAGAAACATATTTTCTTTTTATCATTTTTCAAATTAGTCCAACATAGCTTTGTTATTTTACTTTGAAAATTTACAAAAAATAAATTTTTGCTTAAATTTTGAGAACCAATGTATTTTTTCTGTGCCTCTGTTTATCTAAATTTAATCTCCTACCTATGTGGACGACATGTGGACAAATATATTTTTTTTAACTGAAAATTAGAGTTTATTATGTTTTCCTGGGATCGAAATATACCACCCCTAAAAATATGTGCACTTATTCAATAAACACTATTATTATTATTTTAAAATCACTCTGTTAATTAAAATGATAATAAATACATTATCATTTTAAGTGATGGGGTGAGTCTAAAATAATCAGATAATTAAAATAATAATGACATGTGATATGTCATTCTATTCAGAGTGTCATTTTCTATCGAATAAAGTAAAAACACACACAGAGTGCCATTTAAAAATCAAAAGTTGTAATAATTTTCGGTGAAACCGAAAGTGACCGAAAACTATTGAGCCACTTTTGAGAAACACCCGGTATCCGAATTAGGTGTATATACAGGTTGGCCCATCGAAAACGTTCCGCAAGGCAATAGCGGCCAGGTTATTTCTTTTTTCAAAAAATCCAAAAACACGTCAATTTTGTTTGTGAGGGGGACAACTTTTGCCCCAAAAATTATTGCAAAATCTTTAACCCTCTGAGCGGGGGAGTCATCCCCCAACTTTTTTCAAATGGGAAGGGGGGTCAAGTGGCGCCGCAATGAAAAGAGCTTTCTATTATCTATATTACCCCGCCTCGTTTTTGAAAATCGGTCGAGTTATTGAGAAAATATAAAGGATTAAAATTTGAAAAGTTTATTTAAACATTTATCAGAATAAATGATAAGGATAAATTCCTTCGACCAATTTGCTGGTTTTTCTTATTATTTCTAGATGTTTACGCATTTTTTCACTTGCCACAAGGTTGAACGATCAGGTGCGGTCTCAATATCGTTAAACTGACTCACAATAGAATTTCCAAAAATACCAGCCAGCGACGATCAAAATCGTCTTCGTTGAGTTCTTGTACCAACTGAATTTTGTACGGGTGGAACTTGTGTGTTTTTTTAATATCCTTTGGACACTTGTACGATTCACGCCGGTCTCATTGGCTAATTTTCTTGTACTCAGCGTACTATCCATGGCAACTTGGCCCAATACGAATACCTCCATAGCTTCATTTACTACAGGATTTTCCCTCTGCCTCTTTTTATTCATAACGGAACCAGTTTCACAAAATTTTGCTGCTAACTCGCGAACAATTTTGCCATAAATGTGTTTGTCAGGATGGCGTTCATTGAATATCTGCGCAACCCGATTGCCACATTCATTATTTTTAAAATAAAGTTCGATTATTTCCACTTTTTCTGCAAGTGAGTACATCATAATTGTTAAAAAGTTTAACGATATTGAGAAGAACTTCAACGCACAAGTCACAGAACAGCTATCTAGCAAATACCGCACCTGATCGTTCAACCTTGTGGCAAGTGAAAACATGCGTAAACATCTAGAAATAATAAGAAAAAAACAGCAAATTGGTCGAAGGAATTTATCCTTATCATTTACTCTGATAAATGTTTAAATAAACTTTTCAAATTTCAATCCTTCATATTTTCTCAATGACTCGACCGGTTTTTAAAAACGAAGCGGGAAAATATAGAAAATAAAAAGCTCTTTTCATTGCGGCGCCACTTGACCCACCTTCCCATTTGAAAAAAGTTGGGGGATGACACCCCCGCTTAGAGGGTTGAAAATTTTGCAATCATTTTTGGGGCAAAAGTTGTCCCCCTCACAAAGAAAATTGACGTGTTTTTGGATTTTCTGAAAAAAAAATTACCCTGGCTGTTATGCCTTGCGGAACGCTTTCAATGGGCCACCCTGTATGTATAATGTTATAATGCAGCATTGGCTTTAAAGATATTTTATAAATATGAAATATGGTTTAAAAATAATGTAGTCTCTCTAATACGTTTTTCAGTGAAATATTTCTATAACTATATATATGTCTATAACAAATAAAATTTTCGTATTTTTCTGACAATGTCTACTATCTCTCTAGGTGTTTTGAAAAATAACCAAAAATTACTGATTTTTCGATTTTTCTCCATACATATGGTCATAAATTATAAATAACAGAGGTTTCTTATATTTTAATATTTAATGTACAATGGCTTTAAAAAATTAGTATAAATATGAAATATTTTTTTATTGCAACATTTCTGAATTGTAAAACACTGTAAAACAAAAGTAATATTTAAAAAAATATATTACAAGAAAAGTGTTAATTCGGATAAATGTAAGAAAAATGCTGTAACGAAAACATCTTGTAAACTACGAACGTAGCGGGCATTTTTTGCGGGAAAGTAACAATGGTACGTGAACTAAATTTCGTTTTTCAGCACGTCCGACCATAATTTATGTGAGCAAAATTAATTGTTTAATTAATTAATAAGGAAGCGGAAACTCACCAAATATGTTCGCCGATGCGATAGTCGGCATTCCGACAGCCACCACTGCAACTAGAATCAGTACACCGGGCCGCATGATTGACTGATTAAGCTGAGCTCAGTTTTGCATTCAGCTATCAAGTGGATCGGAACTTCTGTTCGACTTTTAATATGCGAAACGCAAGAGACATCGGCCAGGGTACTGCCCAGGCGACTTTGACCGCTTTCAGTGCCACTAGGTCACCTGAATCGCCTCAACCGGCGCAAGCTGCCTTCACCTTGGCTTGCCGTCGAACCGCAGTCAATTAATTTCTTATTTTCCTTCCTTATTTCTTCAGCCAAGTGGCCTCATGTTGGTCTAGTTCAGGTTCATACTATTATGCATCTCGCTGCTATGAAATTACTTTCAGTTTTGGGCTCTTAACATCATACATCCCACACCATCGAAAAAGAAAGTTGATCCAAGTTAAAAAATCTCATTTTTTAAACCAATTTCTTTCCTTGTAGATATATTTTTCAGTTAAAGTAGATTTTCAGATAGGGTTTTCAATTGTCCGAATTTACATGGATATGTCTGGATTGTCAAATATTCCGGAATTTGAAGAAATGTCCGTGACATTGAACCATAAAACCAACTAAACTTTGTTGAATATTTTAATAGTTACGATGTCTACTTATACCGGGTGCGTCTCAAAAGTGGCTCACCCCCTATAATCTTTTTATTTTCTCAAATAAAAAAAAAACGAGATTTGGTATGTTAGTATATGAGATAAATTAGGGATTGACTGACCTATTCAGTAGTTTTCGGTCACTTCCTGTTTCACCGGAAATGACTACAACTTTTGATTTTTAAATGGCACCGTCGGTATTATTTTACTTTATTCGATAGAAAATGAGATTCTGAACAGAAAGGCATATCGTATGTCAACTTTTGACATTCTTGCTTAATAAAAAATCGTATTTTAAATTTCAATCTAGAGTGCCATGACTATGTTAAAAAACACTAATTTTTAATCACTGAGCCTTGGAAAAATAGATTTGATCGCCTAATGTGTGTCTTGTCCTGGCCGGTTAAAAGATACCCTAATTGTATTTTTAGTCATATCTCAATTTTTTCAAATGGAACGAGGGTGGCTCAATAGCATATTTGGAAAAAGCATTTCTTTACGAATAATTTGATACCACACACTTGGTATTTCGAGTCAAATTATCGTTATGAACCGCATGCTATAAGACTTTTACTTAACTCATGCTAATTCCATAGCTAATTCTATATGCAATAGGTAAATTAGTTTAGAAGTATTGGTATATAATGTGGAATATTTAATTCTACCAAAAAATTATGCTAGAATGAAAGTTTTCTCTTCCATAAGATAATGCTTCCAAAAAATAATGCAATTCTGATGTAATTTGTAACGTATGCAACCCAAATCTTAGTACTATATAAAGCACTATTTAAAGTATGTTCCTCTGTCCAGGAATCAGGTAAGAATATTGCCAGACGATCCAAACAATAACAGAAAATATATATATTTTACCTCTGAATTAAAATGACAGACTTCCACAGTCAGGCACGTCTCGTTGGACAAACTTCAAAGCTCACTTGACTGGAATTTCCAAAAATTTGTATGGAAACTCTATCTGCAGACTTGTCAATAAAATATTTGTTTAATAATTTTAGTCAGTCCTTACTGTATTATTATGTTAAAAAAGGGGGAGTAAAATAATTGTATATCATTTTGTTAAAGGTTATGAAATAAATTTGTTACGTCTAACTTTCTTTAGAATTTCTCCTTTTATGAAGAGGATGGCAAAATAATAAAGATGTTCTGAGGTGGATTTTTTTTCGTCGTGGCGCGCTATTTGGTAAATGGAAAATTGAAAGAAAATAAAAGTAAAAAAGCGGAAAAATGAGTTGTTCTTTAAGCCCCCACTTAGATGATAAATTATCAGCACCTTTTTGTTTATTCTTATTCGGTCCCCTGGAATGTTCAAACGACCATTAATATCACTTTAAACTTGTTCCAACCGGGCGATTTCATTTTATTTTTTATTGGAATTTTTCAACGTTAAACTGATTAATAATTTTTCGAAATACTATTTAAATAAAACTTAAAGAAACATCAAAGCAGTTTACAAAGCAGCAATGCACGCTAAAACTACACAAGAATTTATAAAAATACTGACGTGTTAAATACTGTTTCCTATAAGTAAATAAAATTTCCTATATACACTGTAATTTTCCTGACCAGGTTTATTACTTTGGTAAAGGCCTGGAAAGCATTCAAATAAGCGTGTATTCATATTCTGAATCTATATAAAATGTTCAACAAATCTTGAAATTTTCATAATTTTATGACTATGTTTACTAGGAAAAAATAGCCAAAAATTGGCATGTTTTGACATTTTTCTTTATATACATCTAGTCATGAAAATTGATGATTTTGGTGAAGTAACCGATTTTGATAAAACTCTTCTTATTAGCTAACTAGAGGGCCTAGAAAACGAAAAGACAGACAATCTAGGTCTCACTAATACACTACTATATGTATAGGCAATATGCCAACTTTGAACAAAAACTCTTCAAAACAAGGGCTCCTAAAATTAAATTTCAAACAAAGTCCAAGCATTTAGTTCATATACTTATATACGCTAAAAGTACTTTTTTATGAAGACTGAAATTTTCATAATTTTCTGACAATGCATTCTGAACATCTAGGCGTCTTGAAAAATAGCCAAATATGGCCAGATTTTTTCGACTTTAATCCATACATACAATATAATCTAAAGTTTTCAAGTACGGTATTTTTGCGTGAGGATAGCAATCTTAGAATCGTAGCTGCTCGAAAATTGATTAAGCCAGGTGGCAAAAAGCAAGGGAAATTCTGAAGAAATATCTAGTTGCAGGTAGACGCACGAGGAAAGTAAAACTCTACTGACACTTAAGAAACAAGTGATTTATGAGAGACGTTAGTGCAGTATGCATTTCAGCACTGCTGTTGTTTCTCTTATGAAGGCAGCTATATTTTACACGGTTTTTCTAAATCTACTCTTAGGCTATCTTACTTTAAAACGTACAAATCTTGAAATTAATGAATGTAACCTGTTTGTTCACTCAATATAAAATTTTTCTAATTTTAACAAGACATTAATTAAATCTTCTTTTTTTGTAAATCTAACATTTTTCTTTTGCTTTCAAAAAAGCTAAAATACTCAATGTTTTGACTGTCTTCTAAAAACACAGGATAAACCTATATGCGTCCTGTAATACAACTGTTTCACCTTGATTGGTTCACGCTTAGGCAGCTTTGTTTTGGGCGTGTTCCGTTTTCTCTTTTTCCATCTTATTTCCTATACGGGTCGGGATTTCACTTCACTCTAAAACCCGTCCTAGAAAGTTTGTGTAAATTTTCTACATTCGCTGACTTGCAGGGATTACCTAGGGATTTGATGGATATTCGCTCTTATGTTTATTAATAAGCCTAAACTTTTCTAAAGCCTTAGATTTGTTACTGTCCTACGGTATAATCAAAACTAACAGAGGAAAACATAGATTACAACGGTAAAACAGTATCTTTATAATTCTTTTGAAATTATTCATATTCTGTTTTTTAATAAAAATGGTTTTTGATATATACTGTTTGACATTAAAACTAAAATTTAACTATATTTAAAATTGTCCGTTGATTGCCTGCATAAAGTGTAGTTAGTAAACGATAACATTTTTATCCCAGTTTTGTTTCGGGATATTCAGTTTTATTGCCTTTGGGGTATTGAAAACATCGTTTAACAATGTCTCCTGTAAGAAGACAAAATAATCGTTTAACGTCAATTAAGTGAATAAAGAAAAACAAGAAGAACCAGTGATCGCTAAGAAAAGATCCTAAGACTTGTACATTTAGAGACCATGAGATTGATTTGTCGAAGAATTAGAACATAGGGCTACGATCATACTGTCCGTCATAAGACAGCTACGTCTGGGATGATGCCAAGTATGGGCTCACTGGAATCAGAAGTGGGATCAAATTGATTTCAGTGAAGTCACGGTTTTTGTTTGTGGGATAACGAGGGTCGTAAAAGAGTCCGCTGCAGACTCAATTTTGCATGGAGCGTGAGACTGCACTAACTATGGACGTTGTGGTTGGAAACACTATAACAATTGAAAGCAGGTTACCTCTTGTTATTTTAGACAGAAACGTGAACGGTCAATTCTACATTAATAAAATGGTGCAACCTCTGGCGACGCCTTACATTGTCAGACCACATGCCGCTGCATAATATATTGTCCATAATGTGGCTAAATCTTCTTTGTGGCCCGCTAGGTCATCAGCTGAGGCTATAAGTTGGTTGCTATATCTTATAGAGGATGTATCACGTCTACGTCATGTGATAATATTAGCCTGGGAGAACCTATCACAGGAAGATATCAATCATCTGATTCCCATCATGCCACGAAGGTTTACAGAATATCAAAACTTACCTGGAGGTGCAACTCACTATTGAATTGTTAAGAATTTCTTTCCAAAAATTTGTTAAGAAATGTCATGGATTATTATTTAGAGTTATCCCAAATATTTCCCAAAATATTAATGAAATATATTTACATTTACTGGGTGTTTCATAGGTTTCTAGGATAATAATATTTCCTTTAGATAGATGAGGCTTTTTAGGATATTATTTTTTGTTAGGTAAAAATTACTTTTACAAAGAAAGATGCGAAAAAAGTCCAGTTTTTTTGTCTAATATTGGCCAGGCTAATAAATCTTCTGTTAAAAATTGCTACGGTATTTTTAGACCTAAATTTTCTATTTTAGGTACTTTCCTGATTGATTAGTCAAGTTTGTGTAACGACCATAAAAGTCAAAAATCGCCAGAACAAGCCTCAAGGCGCAAAACAGAATTATCTCTTGAAAAATTGCGGAATGGAGCGATGGATGTTTTCCGCGCAAAAAAAAGCTTAGCTGTCTGACCTCGAATTGTACAAGTGAAAAACCTGAGGAAAACTTTTAATGTACAATATTTTGATTTGCTTTATCGGATTTTCTTAATTTTTCGTTTTATCTTAGGTCTTTCTCGACCGAATTTCTTTAATAAAGTGGACATTTTCAATAACACCGGTAAATTTTTTGGCTCACACGTATCTGACGCAGAATCGTGATTTCTCCGAATTCAATCCGGATTTCGACTAACGGCTTTCGGAATAAAGTTGATTGAAAGCGCAAATCAAATGAAAGAAAAGGAATGTTTTCTTTTATTAAGCCAATCAAAAAAAGGAAAAATATACGTACGATAAGCTTCAAAAAATTATATCATACAATCGCGTTGTTAGTTTTCTTTTCATTTCACTGGCGTTAAAAAAAATATGTAAAATTAATATTTTTGGGCGTTCTAAAATTAAATATCTAAAGAATTTCGGTAGGTTTAATTAAAATTTTAATCATTTTTTGAGAAGCACCTTAAACACATAAGGCAATGTTGATTATAGTAGGTAGTCAAAACTTTGAACAAATTTATATGTTTATTTTTCTAGACTACTTCAAAATTAGCCAAAAATGGACAATTTTTCGACTTTTTTCCATACGCCATAGCCATAAAAATTGGCTATTCTCGTAATGTGGCCTATTTTAATTAAACTTCTCCCAATTATCTAATTATACAGGTGCTACTAGATTTATTACATTCTAATAAAATTTAGGCAAAATTAATTAAAATTTCTTTATGAGGAAACAAACAACTAAAATAAATCCATCAGTTACAGAGTAAAAATTACCCAGTGAGTTAGATGCCAACAGAAAACATCTCAGTGGTTACTTATTCAAACAGAAAATTGCCTAACGAACAAGAATTTTTTTATATTTTCAGAGGTACTTTTCTTTGTGTATAAAAGAGAGGAGGTATGTGAAAGATATTTATTGACATGGATTATTTTTCTTTATTATGTCATCACCATCATCATCATTTCAGCTTACTGAACCATTTCCACTTAGCCCCGCTAATTTCCTAATGTCAAGGTCCCCTAATTTAGGTTTGATCATCTTCTAGGTCTCTTAATTCCTCGTGGAACTACACTGCGATTTTTGTGGTCCAGCTGTTGTCAGTCTTGCCAGGTGCCCATTGCCACTTGGAATTTGATTTTGTGGATGACATCTATTACCTGGAACTTTTGTCGTATCCACTCTATTTTTTTACGGTTTGTCTTTGTTATTCCCAGCATATTTCGTTCCATCAAGCGTTGGGTGGCCTGCAGTTTCTTTATAAAATCCGTTTAAAGTGTCCAGGTTTTGTATGTATAGGTCAAAACTGGTAGTACACATTGATCGAATGATTGAGTTTCTTTCTTATGTACTCCATGCTAACTTAATTTTCCTGTTGATGTCTGGTAATAGAGTTCCAGAGTTGTGTATTAGGTGTCCCAAATATATAAATATTCTTCTACTATTTCCAGTGTTGTGATATTTATTAGAATATCTTCTCTCATATATTTCTCTCTTATTACCTTTAGATTTTGCTTAATTACTGGCTGTATTTAGTTCGTTAATTTGTGCTTGTAGTTCTTCAGGACTATTGGTAATTAGGGTTATGTCATAAGATATTGTCTATATGTTTTTAATTTTTTGGTCCAGTGTACTTGACGGAAGATTTCTTCTAGTGTTACTGTAAAGAGTTTTAGGAATATCACGTATCCCTGTCGTACTCCTTTGCAAATTTGCAAATTGGGAATCCTAGGATTCTTTTATATATAACTAGCGTGTACCAGCGACTTCGTTCGCGTCGAATTAATCATTTGTAATGGTGATGATAAAGCAAAGCAAGAATTTCCATTAACATACAAACTGGATAAAATTTTCTCACATTTATGTCAGCATGAGAAAAAACAATATGGCGATATTATTATATAACTTTCAGAAAAAATTAATTTGCCAAAAATAAGCTTTTTACGTCAAGCAGTTTAAGCAGAATCGTGGTTAAGAAATTACCCAACTTTTTGGAACACCCCTATGATTTTTTTAAAAATTTCAAAAAATGTAAAAAACAAAATAAATTATGCGTGTCCAAGCGTTTTCCCGAAAGACTAACCGTTTTTTAAATAACAAATATTGTAATATTTGAGGGGCGTTTTCACCCTCTTGGAATTTGAGATTCGAGAAACCCCTCCTTATCGAACCTCTACGCCCCACAGTCAATCCGTTTGCCAAAAATCAGCTTTAAACGTCAAGCAATTTAAGCAGGATCGTGATTACTCATATTTTATGAAACACCCTGTATAAGTTTATAAAAAATCGTAAAATATGTAAAGCAACAAAATAAAATATACGTGTTTAAGAGTTTTTCTGAAAAACTCACCGGTTTTTAAATAAAAAATATTTTAATATTTGAGGGATACTTTCACCCTCTTAGAATTCGAGTTTCGAAAAATCCCTTCTTATCGAACCTCTACACCCTAAAGTCAATCTGTTTTCCAAAAATCAGCTTTTTACGTCAAGCGCTTTAAGCAGGATCGTGACTAATCAATGACCAGATTTTTCGAAACACCCTGTATACATTTTTAAAAAATCTTAAAATATGTAAAAAACAAAATAAAATATACGTGTTTAAGCGTTTTTTCGGAAACTTGGCCGTTTTTTAAATAAAAAATATTGTAATATTTGAGGGATGGTTTCACCCTCTTGGAACTGGAATTTCGAAAAATCTCTTCTTATCGAACCTCTACACCCTAGAATCAACCTGTATGCCAAAATTGAGCTTCTTACGTTGAGTGGTTTGAGCAGGATCGTGATTAATCAGTATGTCAGTCACTTAAGGATTTTATATATTAGTATAGATTACTCTTGGCATTGACTTTTTTATATTCATATATGTATATTGGCAAGAATTTTTATGAATGCGAATATACTAGAAGATATTTTTCTTTAAACCAAATATAAATGGGTTAGAAAAAAACTTATTGTGTGTGACATGGAAAAATGAAAAGTTTGTTACTTTTCAAAACTTTTCTTTAAGAAAGCTACCAACTGTTAATACACTACGACCGTATCCTATTATCAAAAATTCGATTCAGCTTTCAAACATAATCAGACAAGTAAAAGTTTCGAACATCGATATAGATTCTTTTGGTGTAGCGGACGCAAGTTTAACTCGTCGTGACCCAAACAAAACAAACTGACCCACATTTTCCGCCCCACCTTGCTACACCGTCTTCGGCAAGTGATTCCTTCGCCAAAGAATATACGTCAACTATTTTAATGAAGCCCACTCAGTTTTCTTTAAGTCGTACTTTGTTAATGGTGGCTATACTGCATTTTTTATTGCGATACGTTATTGGATAATCATAATTTCTTTCCCTACCGGTGAGTAAAATCAAAGTTTATTATTTTCCAAGTGGCATATAACGGATAGTAATTTTTGGTCCTTTATGTCCACTTTAATAACAACTACCCAGGTATACAAACATTCATATCGTTTACATTTATCGCTGTTTTATTTGTTATGCCGATTTAGTAAATCGTTTAATTCAACTAAAAGTTCGAGCGTAAAACATGCGGCGAGTTTTGTATTATTAATTTTAAAATAACGCATTTGTGGAGTTGGGGCATTTTAGAAAACAAAATAAATTAGTTTAATAAAACGTACTTTACAAATAATTAAACATTGGATAAATTGGTTTGAACATTTATTGTGTTTTTAGTGAACTTTTACTTCAGGAAACGGGTTAAACCCATGTAGGTTTAGGTCACGGTCACAAAAAACTATTCAAGAGTACAGTTTCTCTTTCTGAACAAACTATTGAGGTATAATGAAATTATAAAGATAAACATTCCAATTTTTTCACATTTTTTACGGAAAACGTATAGACGTGTTCCTGAAGTAGTAATATACCACTCCCAAATATATTTGCAATTATTTAAGACTCACTCTGTGCACAAAACTAAGAAATACATTTTTTTAAGAAAAACCAGTCGTCATGGCTTGTTATGATCTAATAGCAAAATAGCATATTACTAAAAGGAAGATGTTAACTTGCAAATACCTTGAAAATTAATATATTTACACATAAGCAACTTTATACAAAGTTGAGTTTATTTTGACCGTAAATCGGTAAATAAAAAGAGCAAAAATGAATGTTTCCATTTATTACAATATTTTTCTGAGCACCCTATATAACATTTAATAAGTTAATAAAACATTTAATTGCAGTAAAACATAATCTAAAAGTCATATAATATAAATTTATGAAACAAATAAACTGATGATGAAAAATTTGATATTATCAATTTGAAATCTTCAACTGCAATTAAAACTGTGTGCAGTTATTTTTAACAGTTTCTAATATGTATGTTTTAAACAGAACTGTTTCATATAACGTCTCTCTTTAATGAGTAGATCTAGGGAACTTGAAACTCTGGAGCAGTGAGATGATTGTTTTGGACTGAGCTGTTACACAAATAGTAGACGGTTTTATATCGTTGGACACTTCCACATAGCTTTAAAGCTATAATTAGAGACTCTTTTTTGATAAAAAGAAGTCAGAGATAAGAATATTTTTGTATAATTAATTAAAACTTTTAATTTATGATTATTAAAATTTTGTCACAGTACATAGATAATTATGTGGATATGATATTCAGAGAGCCAAATAGTTTACTATTATATTGTTTGGAGGTTACAATTATAATTAGTTTATTTTTAACAGTAAATATTACATTATAACTTTCTGAATAGTAATTAAAATTACCTAATTAAATTTTAGAATAAAAGTTTGAAACAGAATTCCATAAAAGCGCGCACCTTTGAATTGTCCTTGCGAAAAAAAGGAAGTTTAAAAAATAAATAAAAGCTTTTATCATGTAAAAAAAGTGGCTTGAAAGAACTTCCGCAAGTCCAGAATGCCAGGGTATCATCTAATATTACTAAAGCCATACTGTAATTAGTAATTTCTCTTTCATACTTGAGGTTTATAAAGATTAATGATGCTTTGAAGAAGAAAAAAAATTACGTATGCATTATTCCGTTATCCTTTTATATGATCTCTTTTTATAATGACGTTTAGTGATTTAATACCCAACTTATACAAGTAAAATGTAAACAAACCGTTTTTATTTACGATATGATTTTACTCTAGACTTGACATAATACTTTATTCACACAGTGATGAAGTTCCAAGATCTTGATAAAAATAAAAAAAGAGTGTTAAATAAGTAAATTTATCCATATAAGCCAAAAGCATTTAAAAATTACATAAATAGAAGATAAATGACATAAAATCATAGAATATTATATGATTTGAAATAAATAAATATTACATATGTTACTGTAAATGTCCGAAATATGGTAAAACCTAGGATAAGCGCGCTAAACCTAGGATTTACCATTGAATTAACACCCTCTAAATAACCACGCTAACCAACTCGAAATGCGGTAAAACCTAGGTTTTACCGCATTTCGGACATTTACAGTGACATATAAATAATATATAAAGTAAGTCTCAAAATGAATTTAGCAATAACTAAAATAATGTACAAAGATCTGCTAGAGAAACAGACATTGTAATACATAACACAGCACTGGAAATAGTAGAATAATATAAAATATATTTAGGATAACTAGTACACAGCTCAAGATCTATACTATCAGTAATCAACAGAAGAATTCAGTTAGCATGGAGTACATGTGGAAGAAGGCAATCCCCAATACGCATACCTGGTAAATTCACGGATGCTGCGTTGGATATCTTAAACAGGCTTATATCAAAGTCGAAGAACACATCGTTCACAGACACCCAAGCAGCGCTAAAAGCACTCGGTTCCACAGAAGTCAATTCTAGACTAGTGTCGGATTGTGTACGTGCTCTGAATACTTTTGGTGAGTGTAGCAAAGTACTGAAACTTCTACACCCTCTATCTCCAAAACGGAGCATTTTAGGACATACATTTTTACGATTTTTTTTACTTATTTTTATCTGCAAAATATGCTCTGCCGAAGTCTCCCGAATACAATTAGGACCGCCCTGTACATTATAGGCATGTTTCTGTTTACATCTGGTTTGTATATCTTGGGTAGTACCTTTGTTTTGTACAGTAATGTTTATCCATTTATATTACTTGTTCGAGAAAAAACACATATATAATTTTTATATAATTTAACAACAAATAAAAAAATAAATAAATTTATTTATTTTTCACGGAGTTTGAAAATATTTAACTCCAAAAACAAGTATAAAGTATGTTCCGTAGAAACTGCAACAAGCTTTAAAGAACCAACTAAAATTATCGAAAGATGTCGAATGCTCGACATTTTCCAAGTGTAAAGGGGCCAAGTAAGCTTTTTCCAACTATGCACAATTTGATAGGCGAAAAGTCGAACACAATTTCTAACAAGATCGAGAAAAAACTGAAAGTAATTTTGAGAAGTTCTTCGAGCGAATTTGTCATCAAAAACTTCTGGAATTATTAAGACATATCTCGATCAGCCTTGCCCAAACCAATTAGTTGATTTAGATACATGTTATTTCTTTAATTAAAAAAATACGCTAACATTAAAAGATAATGATTCAATTACACGCATGTAGTTTCTAAGTAGATTACACGAAAAGCAGTGAAACATACAGAAGTAAAAGAATCATGTATTCTGTTTTGTTGCAAAGAACATTTAACTGATCCGTTTAAAAATGCAAGCCTTATTGTAACGCTTGACATCACCTGAAATAGAGTAAATCCTTCTCGCCAAAGTATATACTAACTGTAAAATTATCAAATTGCATACATCAAAAAGAGTAACGAAGAATAAATTACACGTAGCGTAACATTTAAAAATGGTCTCGAGGTTTTATTTATTTCGTTTCGTTCCAATAATTGAATATACCGCAGTAAATGCTCATTTGAAATCGATTAAAATTTGCTGCTGGAAATATTTCAGCGCTAATCAACATTTCAAACGAATAATTCCTATATTGCAATTCGCCACTCCAAGTACGAACGAAAAAACATCGATTGTGGATTATTTTTCTTTCGATTAAATGCAAAATAAAGCATGGAATGTACCAATCGACATATTTTGGTTGGTTTAAAAACCGTATCATATTTGTTTTAATTAATTTTACATTGTCGATTCGCCAAATTGTAAAGTACCGTTTTATTACCGATTTATATTAAATCTCTTCTGATTTATAGGCGGTAAAAGATGCACAAACTATATTATTTACGAAATTGACTTTATCCTCTAGATATTAAATCTATACCTTTGTTCTGCACCAGCTTGTACAGGTACTTGATAGGATGGGAGCATAGTTCCTCCAGTTCTGGCCTTGCTTACGGTCTGTTTCAATAGATGCTTGCACTACAGGTTATACATTTGGATATTCCCAATACTAGCTCTAGACCAAGATAATATTCCAATGGTCTTTGCCTTGCTAGTTTATTGGAATTTTCGTCGCACCTAGATTAATTTAACTCTGTTCCTTTCTGCCAGAGTTACAAGTTCATCCACCTTTGAACTCATGAGCACCATAAGTGTCGCCTGACTATCTGAGCTTTTATGTCAGGTCTTCTATTGTTTCCTCTAGCGCATTGTAGAATGGCGAAAATTTCTGCCTGGAATTCGGTGGAGTTTCAGAAGAGAATGGATGATACCAGACTTCGAATAAGAAAGAAACTCCTGTTTGAAGAATTGTTTCATTTATTATCCATATCTGAAGACATCGACGACCTACTGGTATTTGAACACTTATTTTTATCAATTTGATGAATAATTCTGGTGCATTTTGATTGCATAAGAAAAAAGAAAATAATAGTGTAAACAAAAACGAAAAAAGCGTGTGGCACAGACATAGCGATGCTCGAATACTATTCGGCGTTTGAGCGGTCGGCATGTGCCATTATCTGTCGAAATAAATCACAAGAAATCACGTAAACTTTAGTCCAGCGTCCACATTATGCAATCTGGTCTGAAAGCTATTTGTTTTAGGTATTTTTAAAATTACCCCTCCTAAATCACCAGCGAAACTTCCCGCTTGAATACCGAGCGATGACAGATTTTAACAACACATTTTCTAGGGACAAAGGCAATATTAAATTTTCCGCCAGTTTCTTTTACTCCTTGAAAAATTTTCTAGGCATTGTTATGTTCAAACAACCTTTTTTCCTTCGCCCCACAAAAACTCAAAAGTAAAATAACTTTTTTTTTGCTCCTTTGAAAAATCTGAATTTCTATTTCAACGTGATTTCAGCTGAAGGTGCTACAAGGTTTACAAAAAAATGCTATTTTTTAAGATATTATTGTGTGAGTTCAGACTTAAACCATAGATTTAAACAATAATAGGTTCTTCAATGACTTCTTATCCTTGAACTTAGTTTAAAAATTAGGTATTTGAGGACTGAAATTGTTAAAGTCCTTTTCGAGGTTTAAACTGCGTTGTTAATGATCTAATAATGTTATATTACAAGAAAACTATACCGAAATAGAATTGCGAAGCTCACCGTTTTTCATAGTCCACGTGAACTTGAGTTTAAGCTATGTTTATAGAGCAAAATAAAACACTAATTCAACATAATATACCAAAACACTTTACTTTTGCACTAGACGCGAATTTCGCTATCCATGTTAGTATCGTCAATAGATGATTAAAACTGAGATATTTTAAGCATTGCTCATTAAGCCGTACAAATAATGTACGTAATCTAAATTGACGTTTAGACTCTCCAATATACGACTCACCGTATTTACAGGGTACCTGGTAGTTGCCCTCTTTCTTTTGTTTTGATGCTTCCGGCTTTGTTTTGCAAAAGGCATCCAAGCATCAATAAACTCATCCATGCCTTAAGGAGCCATCCATGTTAGTACTTCTGAAGCGTGATTTCTTTTTTCTTCTAATCTTCAGAGTATATAGTATTTATACATCCATATCTGAAAATATGCATGAATAGTTAACAAGTTAAACTCTTCTATACAATCCTACAATGTATTATATTACATAGTTTGAAGCAAAAAATCTCTTATTATTAACTTTACTAGACATTTTACACATATTTTTCACATTTTCACTGTCATTTTAAGCAAACTATATTCCTCAGAATGTTATAAAAGTAATAAAGGCTCTTTTAAATTAAAGTCGATTTGTTATAATATACAATACAAGAGACGTCACAACCTTATGAACTTTATTATGACCTAAAATTATACCGAATACATACGGCACACGCTTTTCCTCAAGAGAAATGTTTTTCTTGTCTATTTCTAGAGTAGACGTCGCATTTATATGATGTAAATTACTGAATTACTGCAATGACGAAAGAAAATAGACAAATTAACTATGCCTAGACATGTGTGACACCCTTAAGATCATTTTAGTAAAATAATAAGCCACAATAACACTATGTTTATATAGTTTCCTTACTTATTACTGTCCTGTGAATTCGTATTTTTTGCGCTTTTATTTATTTAATTAGTTTTAAATTCTGATACAGTCCTTTAGGTGTGTCTTTTAGTGAATACAACTGGAGAAAAAATAGAATTTAAAAAAATAACGAAGTCTTTTTAGTTCAGGCATATTTAATTAGCGTTTTTTAAGGCAAACTTCACAAAAGAACGCAGAAAAAATACAATTATTCTTTTTTCACAAAGCTCTCTGTACTCTTTCGTAGAATATTTCTTTCTTGTTTGCTTGACAACAACGTATGAAATGTTCTATACCAGAATATACTTTTTAAAATATTATACAGATGTATAAAGACGTTCAATACGGATGTTAAAGTAGATTAAGTATTATTCTTCTTTTTATTTATATGACTTCATGAATTTCATTTCTTTTTTCTGAAAGTTAAAAATTATATGCACCGCTGAGTAATAGGTCTTCTGTCTTATTCTGCCATTCTAATTTTTCATATATTTTTTCTTTCTTTTAGTTCAAGTTAATGAAGGTGACTACAACGAGAAATGGCAGCTATTTATTTCGAATTAGCTGATGAGGTCTTTCTTCTTAAACAGTTTTTCTTTTGAGTAAATTGAAGAATATACAAAGTGTACTAATCTAAATTTTAAATATTTTTAAAACAAAAATACATGTTTAATAACGTAATAAATTTGCTCTTCTTTTGATATAACTTTTTTTACCTATATGATATTTGAAATATACTTGATTTTTACGGTTGAATATAAAGGTTTGCTTACATCTACATGCAACACGACTTATTATTTTTCGAAAAGAAACATGCATATATCCACATACGTGTATTTTCGTTGTTTTTTCTTTATCTATACATTCGAGCTTGAGTTAAAAGCTTTTATTCAAACTGTAGCCTTAAAAATCGTTTCTACCATCAACAAATTTCCGGTCAAAAATATAAAGCAAAACTATAATAATAAATAATAAAATTATTGAATACCAGGGGTATTATAAGAAGTATTTTATGCCCTTAGATGTGAAGGAAACATGCAATCAGGAATCTGTTTGTACCCATGAACAAGACTGGTTATTTTTTTAATTATTTCTTCTACAAAATTAGAGTTAAATTAACAGTGGTTGTACAAAAAGCCATAAATGTTCTTAAATGTGGATAATGAATCTTAGATCATGAGAGCGAAAGAAATTTCCTGTTGTTCACCAGGGCAGAGACAGGCGAAAAAGTTCATAGTAGAACATTCTTCAAAATTCACGGTAGATCTGATAAGCAAAGATAGAAAGACTGTCAAAGCGGTATTGGGTCTACTAACAAGGCATTGTAATCTGAATAAACATCTAAAGATGATGGGATTGACAAAGAAGCCATATGCAGGTTTTGTCAATCTGAGGAAGAAATGACTGGACTAGTGATGAGCAAATGTAAAACCAAGACTAAGAAGTCTTGGTCTGGTTTTGCAGGGTCCAGTCTTGGTCTTAATCTAGATTAGATTAGATTCCTAGAGGTGGATCTCGGCCTGATCCACTGCGACTTTCTCAGATATATTGTGGTCCTCTTCTGGTCCTTAGATTACATTCTCCAATTCTATCCTTTTCACAAAGTTTAGCAACTTGGAGACTGAACCCTCCATGTAGCTCCCTGGCAATGGCCTATTATTGTCTACTACCGAAAACCACACATTTGCCAGGCTGTCGCACCGACATAAAATGTGTTCTATCCTTTCTTCTTCAGATTGGCAGAACCTACACATAGCTTTTTCTGTCAGTCCCATCACCTTTATATGCTTATTCACTACAGCTTTGACTAGTCTTAGTCTAGCTGCAGGAGATAGACTCTTCCAAGTCTTGCATTTCTTAACAAATTTTTACTTGAGGTACTTTCTACATAGAAAACTTTAAAAAATTGGATTATTTCTCTGATGAATTTTTTTATTTTTTGATATATTTTATTGAATCAACATTTCTTTCTTTAAAATATTATGCGATACTTGGGAAAGCACTGTGTAATAAATTTAAAAAAATAATTTTGAAAAAATAAGGAATTACTTATTTCATATAAACGTGAGAAAGAATTGCAAGACTCTTGTATGCTTGGTCTTGATCTTACGGAAGTCTTGCACTGGTCGGGCTTAGTCTTGGAGATCAGACGCTAGTAATGGTCTTGGTCTTGTTTTGGGAAAGAACAAGACCAGCCTCACTGGCAAATGTGCGGTTCTTTGTACCAGGCAATGGCAGACTATTGACAGTCTCTAAGTTATTATACTTTTTGAACAGGATAGGACTGGACAATGTAACCTAAAGGTCAAGAGACCACAATAGACCTGGAAAGGTCGAAATGGAACAGGCCGATAGCCACCTCGAAGGCTCTAATCTAATCTCTGTTGTTACAATGAAGATTCAAGCTAAATATTTAAATTACAAATGACGTACATCAAGTAATACAAGAAAAATAGTTAGTTTCGTACGAACGTTAGATAAATAAATTTGATTTACAGTGAAAACTGAAATTGTGCGACAAATATGATTGATTACGAAGAGAGGAACGTATATACGAGAGATATGAATAGAGAATACGTTACCGGGACGTACGGCTATTGATATTCCGTTCCCTATCATTCGGCAATTTGCTTCTTATACCGTGTACTCGTCACGCCGCCGGCAATAACACGTCTTTTTCATTTACAGGTGGCGCACTACTGCAGAATCAGACCGACGCGTGGAGGAAGAGGAGAGTTTAAATTCGGTTTTAGCCAGCCCTACGTCAGCCCTCCAGCATGAAACTCTCTTTTATCTTTGAGCTGCTCCTAGTTTTTGTTTTAATAGCTTTCGCCGCATCGGCCGCAGTTATAGGTAAGATAAAAATTTAGCACCGGCAGTGACGCCGAATCATTATATCGCCCGATATATCGTTTTATAATACCGATTTGGTGAGGCGAGGGCAAGATAACAAGGCAATTGTACTTCACCCTTTGGCCTGTTTTATTTTTTTCTGCTGATATCAGTTTTTTTTCCTTCGTCATCACTTTCGCTCATACTCCCGAATAATATTTCGTCATTTTTATAAGGTCATTGGTTTAATGAAACAGTCCATTAGAACCTCCAGCGATATGTATCATGAACCGTATGGTCCGATTTTCATTTATATTGACTATTTTATACTCATATTGTAATATATACCGTGTGTCATAGAAATTGGAACACGTAGTAAGTGTAAATAGATTTCATTAATATCTTGAGAGATAAATATGAATATTAATCGATGACATTTTCAAACAAATTTATTGAAAAGAATTCTTAACAATTCAATAGAGAGTTGCACCTCCATGTAAATTCTGATATTCTGTAAACTCTTCGTGGCATGCTGCGAATCAAAAGATCGTTATCTTCCTGCGGTAGATTCATCCAGGCTAATGTTACCTCGTGACGTAGACTTTGTACATCCAGTATAAAATGTGGCAACCGACTCGGACTTCTACCTATCACATCCCAGACATGTCCCATAGGTTATAACTCTTGTAACTTTGCGGGCCACTGAAGAAGGACAACATTAGCGTATCGGAGGTGTTTCTAGTAGTTTCTAGTAGCCAGTAAATAGTAATTAGTAAAAATTGGTATCAAACCAAACCAAATCATACAGTTGCTGAAGATAGGGTAACGCGACAGATTAGAATTGAGCATTCATGTTTCTGTCCAAAAAAAATAGAGGTGACTTACATCCAACTATTATGGCACTCCAAATCCTAACGCCTCTATTAAGCGCAGCCTCAGGATTCTTGGAAACTTGAAGTTGGTGCCTTTCTCACAAACAAAAATATGACTCTTCACCGAAAACAACCCGATTCCACTGCTGATTCCAATGAGTCTGTTTTTGACAGCATGTCAGAAGTGGCAGTCTGTAGCCTATCATATGAGCTCTAATTCTTCGATAAATCGATCTCATGCATATGTGTTGACCTGTAAGCTAGCCTCCACGGATGATTGTGCTGAGGTGATCTCTTAAAGCACTAAGTCTTAGGATCCTTTCTTAGTGATCACTGGTTCTTCTTAAAGTCCCAGTGCCCCTACGACGTGTTTTCTGACGATGCATATACCGCTCTGTCCAACATCGCATCACTGTAGCAGTCCTGATTCCAATTTCCTGACAGTGTATCCCAGCTCCTCGTATAGGTCTACCATCCTACGCTGTATCTTCTTCTAGAAGGCAATGCTAAACAGTGTTTTTAATGCCCCAAAGACTATTAAAACTGAATATCTCGAAAACAAATTCTCAATAAAAAAATAATAAAATAAAACTGTTAGTTATTTATAAACAGAATGGGATATTAAAATCATACAGTAATAACAAGATGAATTCAATATTTTAATAGTTTACTACAATATTACTGTCATATTATTGTACAAATTTCAGAATAAATTCCCTAAAATATTATTATCTCAAACATCTATTACCCGGACATTTTCAAATCACTTTGAAATCGTACAAGACATATATTGTCTTTTAATTTGCAAGTCAATGTACATTGCGAGGGGCTGCGTTATAGGTCTGAAACGTAGCAACAGATAGAAAAACAAGACCTTTCGGATAACTTTGGAATTATTTATGATGTGCTATCTTTTTCACATACATTTTGTGGGATTATAATACAAGGTTCATTTTTATTTCCTATAACTTAAAGCTGTAGCTAATTTATTAAAATATTAATAATAAAAAATGCTATAATTGGAAAAAAATTCAAAGTGAATTAATCTTAAGAATTTTATTTAAGCCGATAACATGAGTTTTATGTCTATGTTGATTATTTTTCCAAGAGTTTTTTTCACAAATCTAGATTTTTTATATTTTGTCTATATTATTAATAAAATTATATAAGGATTCTTGCCACTTAACTGCTGATATAATTTATTATTAAATTTAATTCTACGCTGTGTTTGTCATAATGTGGATCAACCTGCTCTCACTACCGGTTTCGGAGCCCTACTCCATCATCAGGTGAGCTTGGGCAGATCCACAAAATGACAAACACAGCATAGAATTAAATTTCTATATCAGCAGTTAAGTGGCAAGAATCCTTATATAATTTTATTATATACCTATGCTGCAAGAAATTTGTTTTCTATTTTATATTATTAATGTTTTTTACGATTTTTCAACTTTTTGCCATGCTATATTATAGCACAGATACTTACAATTTTATTTTCAACAATTTCAAGCACTGTGGTTGATTTATTATCAAGAAAAAATGGGAAAAAGACTCGATAAAATGTAAAATGGAAAAATAAAAGTCGTCTCTTCGGGAAGTCGTGATTGCAATCAAATTTATAATTTTCAAACTTTGCAGTTTACGGATTATATTTGCTGCAAGTTTTAAAGTAGGTAGTCACTCAAATTCTATAAAGTTTATTGCATCTTTAAGATTTCCGTACAAATTATGATGACTAATTGTTGGTTTACCCTAAAAGTAAAATGTACTACAATATTTATGTAAGTCGGTCATGTTCCGGGAACTTGAATCGCCAACTTTCTCCACTTCGTATTAAAAAAGAAATAAACATTATTCTTCGAAATACATCTCTTTACACTTAGCGCTAAATTAAAAATAAAAATGTTGTTAACTTAAAACCTACTTTTTTCATATATTTATCGACCATGTATTTTTATTCCAACAATATCATGGAAGTGTTAAATAGAAAATTTAATAATTTTCTTTCTATTTTCAGTAAATAAGAATTTCTATACTGCTTCGTATGAACTTTCTATAAGCTAGAAAGTTTAATTTATATATTTCTAGTTCTTGTTTTGCTGGCTCAGCGAGGACCTCTGATGTGCTTGACAAGTTCAGAAAAATGTAGATAACCTGCATTAATTCGAATAAAACAGTAATTTAGCTTCTAAGCAGGTAAGAAAATTAAGACGCCAGAAGTTTAAAGAGAGATTCCGATTCAAGAAGGACTTTCTTTAATCGACTAGCTCACATTTGACTACAGCAGTATTTTTGCCACTGACAAAATTTGCTAATGAGCTAATTCAGTTGCGATAGCTTATTTTATTTTGCCAAATTTGGATTTGGCAAACAAATTAACAATGGTTCTGCGGAAAGAAGGAAATATTGCATGTAGTAAATTATTGGTAAATTTGTATATAGGTACTCAGGTATGTCGATAAAATATATAAAAAAAAGAAAATTTTTGATGGACACATCCAATAAAGTTCAATTTTCGTAAAATGTCTTTGTTACAGTTTGATTTTGATAATTTTAAATATTTTTTAGTATAAATAATCATATTCCGTAAGAAATCTAGGCTCTCCACCCCAATGATAATTTAAATCATATTTTTTAAGAAATTTATGCCCTGCTTCCCAGTATCTTAACTTTTCAGCTCTGGTAAACCGCTGACAGATACATACCATACACTAAAAAAAAATCAAACAAGCTGTAGAATGAGCTATTTGTTTATTTATAGTTGGTTGAATTAGAAAAGCATTTTTATTTTTAATTATATTTTGATTGTACTGCATGACACAGATTTGTGCCTTCTTGGATATTGCGGGGGCATTTGACAATATACCACATAAGGTGGTCAGGCGATCTCTAGAAACAAGAGGGGTGGACAGAACAATTATTCGCTGGTTTTGGGAAACGCTGTCAACACGAACAGCAGAGGCTCAGATGGGCACCAAAACTGTAGCTGTTAAAACAACGCAAAGAACTCCACAAGGTGGAGTAACCTCCCCTTTGCTGTGGAGCTTGGTGGTGGATGAACTACTAGATGAATTAACTCTAGCGGGAATACACTGCATTGGGTATGCAGATGACATAGTCATGATCGCTCGGGGGAAATATGAAGGCACCTTGTGTGATATTATCCAAAGAGGACTCCGTATCACTGAGAGATGGTGTAGGACTGTCGGGCTGAGTATCAACTCAGACAAAACCGCGATAGTGCCATTCACCAGAAGGCGAAGTCTAAAAAACTTGAAAAGAATCCAACTAGATGGAAAGGAAATACTGCCAACACAGGAAGTTAAATACCTGGGAATAACCCTGGACAGTAAACTCCTGTGGAACAGGCATATTAAGAACACTACCAGCAAAGCCATAAAGGCTCTCATGATATGCAGAAGACTGGCCGGAAATAGATGGGGCTGCTCCCCTAACATTTTGCGCTGGATGTATACCATGATAGTAAGACCCATGATTACTTATGGAGCAGTTGCCTGGTACACAAAACTAGAGCAACGGACGGCAAGGCTAAACCTATGCAAAGTCCAGAGACTAGCATGTGTTTGCATCACAGGAGCCATGAGAACCTGTCCAACAGCAGCAATGGAGGTCATTCTAGATCTAACACCACTGCACATTGTCATTGGTAGATATGCCAATGCGACAATGATTAGAATGGTCACTAACGGAATTAGTACTGGGAGAATTGTCAGATCAAGGGCTTGGAACACCCTCAAAAAGGAAATACCTCTCCTGCAACTCCCAGTGGACGATATGCCAAGAACGTACAACTTTGACAAACATGTCAATGTAGTATTGAGCAATAAGAAGGATTGGAAGAGCGAAACGCTTGCCCAGCAGTTAAAAGACCATACCATAACTTGGTATACTGATGCTTCCAAAACAATACGGGAACAGGGATCGGAGTGTTTGGGCCGAGAGCTAATTACTCCGAACCAATGGGCACTTACCCTAGTATCCTACAGGCAGAAATCTACGCTATCGAGAGATGCGTACAACTTATCTTAGATAGGAACTATCGGAAACAAGAAATAGCCATCTTATCTGATAGTCAAGCAGCGTTAAAGGCGATCAACTCAGTATCAATCAATTCGAAATTGGTCAAAGAATGCATAGAGAAGCTGAATAAATTATAATAAAAGGCAAAGAAAACAAAGTCCTCCTACACTGGGTGCTGCTCACCAAGGGATAGAAGGCAATGAAAAAGCAAATAATCTAGCTAGGAAAGGAGCGAACACTCCACTAACTGGACCAGAACCGTTCTGCTTTCCAAGTGGTAACCAACTCAAGGCGGAACTCAAGAACTTGGAAGATTCCATCCGCAACCTGGAATGGAAATCTTGCAATTGTCTAAGACACTCGAAGAAGTTTCTGAGGGCTTATGATCAAGAAAAATCACAGATCTTCCTGGGTCTGAGTAAGAACAATCTTCGGATTGTCACGGGTTTTTAACAGGACACTGTCTCCTCAGTGAACACCTCAGTAGATTGAAACTAAGAAGAAACGGCGAATGCAGATTCTGTGGGGAAGATGGTGAAACACCAGTACACCTCATCACTGAGTGCGCCGAGACGACAACCATTCGTGCCATGAATTTTGGTACGACTGATATTGGAGATGGAGAACTACCCTCTATAAAACCGTCCCAGATACTGGCTTTTGTCAAAGCCCTGGGACTGTATGATGAGTTATGATTCAAGAAAGGGGGACACAATGGATCTGTAAGGTCGAAGTGATTAACCCCCCTCCCACTCATTCTAAATTCTAATTCTAAATGATACAGATATAAACATAACTTTTTAGAAAGGACCCATGGCTCGTATATTAATCTGTTTTTTAAGCATCGAACTGACCTTTACCCTTTACATGAACAAAAATATCCCAAACAGGCTTATTTAACACAAAAAAAAGTAATTAAAGCTACCAGTGGGCTTTTAAATAGGAAGAAACTATTGAAACGTTCAGTTTTGTGTTAACAGGCCTCCCAAAAAATCCGTTTTAACAAAAACCGCTGAAATAAACAGGGGAAATTGAAATATCAAATCAGATAATTTCTAAACGAAACGTTAATAATGTTTGTATATTATTAACCTAATTGCGTTAAGTGTATTACAATTAATATGGCAAATTAGAACAAATGAACGTAAATAATTTATTGACAGTTATAGAAAGCAAGTTAATGATGCTCGCGTGTAATACGAACACGGGTACTTTGTAATTTAAAATTTATTATTTCTATTTAAATAGCGCTCAGTTTGTTTTTATTTTACTTTGAAGCGACCTAGTTCGAGTGAAGAACGATTGCTTTGGAGTCAATATCTATTTTAGGTTGAAATAGTATTTTCTATTAGAGCCATGGAGAATAACGAACTCGCCTGTAGGTGTAGATTCGGTTTTACCAATTCCTTCCATTCTCCTCTTCCACGAAATTGTCTCGATTTGGATTATAAGAGAAAGCACGTACATTATGTAGTAAATTTCTTTTAGCTTGGAGTACGTGTCTTTCGTTATGCTATATACCACATCTCTAAGTTTACCCCACAAAAATTGATAGCCTTTCTTATCGATCCATTCGCTATTTCCCTCTAAATTATATTTATTTTATTGGCAATTTAAATACTTTTTAAGTCTGTGCATGTCCTCATATCCAGTATCATCATACTTCGTCCACTATTGGTAAACTTCTAACAGACACATGCCATCAACTTTTAAAAATTATAGTAAAATATTTTTGTTACCGATAAAATTTTGACAATTTAAATACCTTTTTATCATAAATAATCATATTTCATAAGAAATGTATGCCCTCTCCTTTCCAGTATAATACTTCTTCACCTATTGGGAAACTGCTAATAGACACATGCCATCAACTCCAAAAAAATATCCTAAAATGTTAAATTTTGACAATTTAAATATTTTTAGTATAAATAATCATACTCCATAATGTATAAGTTTATGCCCTCCACCACATAACAGTAAAATTTTGAAAATTTAATCATATTACTTAAGAATGCAGATATTTATATTGCTTTCCAAACAAATTAAAGATGTACGATAAATTAAAAGACCGTTTTTTAGGAGAGCTCAAGCCAGAAAAGAGGCATAAAAAATATCGGCCGCCATTACAATAAAAATAAGAGTTTTACGCTTTGGAGTTTTCTTTCTGTCTTAAGCATCTGTGATCGTTAAAGGAAAACTTGAACGTTCCCCGTGTCTCTTGCCTGTTGTAATTTGACCGCCTTTGCGCTGTAAAACCACCCAAAGAGGTGCATTGAGATCTTTGAATTTTACGGTTCCAACAGAGAAACGCTTCATTTAACAAAAATTATTTTATTGCTTTTTCCCGTGCCCTTTAAGATCCTTAAATAAATAATTATTTACCTAGATTCTCTTCCTTAAACGAATTTCTAATTCCTCGAATTATTCCTCCTTTAAAATCGTATTTAAACTCGAAAGAGTAAACCAAAAATGATGTCGTTTAAAAAAAATATTTGCCTTGCTTATTAACCCCGTTATTATTACGTTTTGCCTTATATTACATTAAGGTTTAATTAAAAGATAAAAACTGGCCCAAACGAACAATTAAGCTTAACGTTTATTTTCGCCGCAATCTAATAGATTTCGGTTTCGTTTCAGATAAAAGTCATCTGGAAAAGTCCAGGAGAAGAATAATAGCGAAGAAAAATGGAAAAGTTCCTACGAAACGACAAGAATCGACCACTAACAGATTTTGTACTTGTTCGACTCGAATGTGTAACTGCTGTCGAGAATTTAATATACCTGTTGTCGCCTTAAGAGGTCCAGGATGTGCAGCTTTACAATATCTTACTGGGGATCGATTAGCTATTTCGATGAGCTTTGGCGAACGAGTCCTGACAAATACAACTATTTCTAGTAAGCGTATTTCTTATTAAAAGTAATCAAATGAAAACATATAACTTGAATTTAATTAGGTAGAAGACCTGATCCAATTTGCATGCCTCTACCAGGAGGAGTCTCAAAGTTCTGTGGAAGGGTCTACAATATTGGTAGAAAAGGAGATAACTTCAATGCGTGCCTTGGGTTGGAACTAAGATCATTGAACGACGTTGAAGCTGCCATGCGAGTATCTTGTTTCCGTTTTGGGCCTGAAGGCTTGAAACTGGAACCTCCACAGCCCTTACCTGTCATAGAAGATGAAGATGATGACGATGATGATGATGATGACGATGATGACGACGACGACGATTTCGATTTTGATGACGACGATGATGATGATGAAGATGATGACTCGGAAAACGACGTAGATTCACCCAGCTACTCCTCTTTCAGTGTTCTTGATGACGATTTTATTGGAGGATACTTTGGCGGTAGCTCGTCCTCGGCATCATCTTCAGGTATACAACTATTAAAAATATTAATAAGATTATATTATATACAATTAATAAGATTTAATATAAAAAGTACAGACTGCAAAAAATAGTGTATTAAATTTCAGTGGGTGATACTACAGATAAAAATTTAATAAAATGTTTCGATGAACATATACCATAAGGTGCTTCCAGAGGAACGTACAGCCCTTGAAATGGTACTCAAAAATAATTTTGTTTATTTTTAAACATTTTTGTAAACAATTTTCCTTGTAATGTGGTATTCTTGCACACACTTTAATACCAAAGCGAATGACGGTAGTGTAAAAATCCAAAACAGTTCTGAACAGTTTTATTAAGGTAGAGGGTAGTTTTTCTCTTGTAGGTTGTAGATGTATAGGAAGGGAAAAGTTGATCACTGCAACCTTATAGATTCATTTTGTCTTTCTTTCTTTATTTACAACTAATCATTCAGTCTCAAGGCTTTGACAAAAGTATCAATAATGAATGAAATCATGAGTTGTATCATATGATAATGTAGTAATTGTTAACAGGTAACTAGATGGAGTTTGAATGGAGTATATTCAAACCATTAATTAACAATATAATTACATACTAGACATGCTCTAAACATTTACAATATATGTTCCAAGTGAGTGCTGTAGGGGTTATAAAAGCTTTAAAAAGCTGTAACTTTCTCAGGAAGCATTTTAGAGAATATGTTCATAGGTGTACTTCTTTTTATCTGTAGTATTGCTCACTGAACATTGGTACATCATTTTTACAACTTTTATATTATTTTAGGCACCAAAAAAAGAAAAACTACAACAACACCTAAGCCACCAATCAGACGAAGGAAGCCAGTTTCTACAAAACCTTTAAGAAAGAAGGCTACATCCAAACCAACTATTAAAGTTACAACAAAATCTCCTTTAACTAAAGTACAATCTACTGTAGCTCCAATTATCCCTGAAATGAACATTACTACAACAAATGTGACTGAATCACTAATTGACTCTATGAATACTACTAAATCTTCACCAAACAATACAGAAGATAATAATATCGAATTAAACTCAATTCAACAGACTGATATGCCTCTAGACACTACAACAATTACAACAATTGCAACTGAACCAACGGAAGTTAGTAGTACAGAGTCCTTGATCATTAAGGACAGTCAAGAAGATGACCCTTTAGCTGAGGCAGTGGAAGATGCTATTAATGACGAGGAAAGTGGTGAAAATACAAAGAATAGTGAGGAAGATAGTGACGAGGAAAGTGATGAGTCAAGTGAAGAAGAGAGTACAGAAAAAGTAGCAACTGAATCCACTACAGTAAAAGCTACAGCAGAAAAAGAAGGAAAAGATATATTTGACGATATTGCTGATGGGGTTGCTGAGACATTTGATGATGCCGATGATGATGACGAGAGCAGCGAAAAAGACGATGAGGAAGATGATGATGATGACGAATTATTTAGAAGTTTTAAACATTCTCAAAAGAAAAGAAGCTAGGCGTCTATATTTATTGTTTATAAAGATAAAAGTATTTTAATGATATAAACAAAAAGTTAATTTCTTTGTAGTGCCAAATTTTATGTATCCCTGAAATTGTATCGTTTGATGTAATTTAACAAAAACATAACCCGTAAAATATGAAAAGCCATCTTAAACTTTTTGGTTAATATCATTAAAATTATATTTATATTTTTTATATCCTTATTCCTCAAATGCTCTTTCTACCTGACGTTATTTATTAATTAATTAATTTATTTATTTATTTTTTTACTTTAGAAAATCTACCAGTTGTAAATAAAATGAATTTTGACTTATCATGTTGTCCATTTATTACCATTATTACCTTTAAATTATAGTTAAAAAAAATCTGAACACCGGCATTTTAAGATACAATAATACTAAGTGTTACGGCCGGAAGGCAACCATTATTGAATATTGACTAGTAATACTTATATATTATCAAGAGAAAGCATTTTTATTATAAAAAAAGTAAAATCTGAAGTGGGGCAAAAGAAGAATAGTACATTATTTTTCTTAACTTGCTTTCAGTCGACATATTACTTACATAAAGTTAATACGTTTTGAAATGGATAGTGCACGAAGTTTCCTCTGTTTTCTTACTGTTTATATCGCGTTCCAAAGACAAATTAATATAGGTAAGTCAATATTTTCACTTTGGGATATATTACCTTAACGTATAATATACTTTCTTCAATATGTCAGCATTAAAAAAAATGAGAAAATCGAAATTGAATAATTATATTAAAATACAATACAATATTTTTATAATGTATAATATCAACACACCGATATCCTATAAAAATATCCTTTTTGAACGATATAGAAAAGGATCAATCAAAAATGGGAGGAGGGTATTTCCTAGCATTGCACATGTATAAGGTTTGCCATGGTTATTCCTCTTGACTTGGTCAAACGGTAAACATTTGATTGATGAGAAAAGAAACCTTCTCTCAGATACTGAACGTCCTCTTAGCTATTGGAAACGAAAAAAAAAGAGAATTTTATGTATTTCTCACATTTTTGTTGCTCGCTTTCGTGCCAGCTATAAATGTAGCGATGTCAAGCGTTCTGCTTTTAACAGGATTGGGTTTAAGACGTAAAAACTCCTCTAGGTGTTTAATTTTTCGGGTAAACATGTGTACAGAAAGTATTTAAAAATACCATAATTATTTTCGGTTTGATTATAAACTTTCAAAATATTGTAAAGTCTATACAGTTCTGGAACTTTTGAAAATATGGAACTTTTTATAAATTGATTAGATAATACTTTTAAATTGTTCAATAAATTGTAATAATATAAAACTATAATGCTATATAGTTCTATACAGTTCTCACAAGCCAAATTGCATGGCTATGAATGAAAAAAGTCGAAAAAATGACTAATGACTTTTGGCTAAATTACATATTTTCGTGGGTCTTAGAAATAGAATCAAAATAGTAATAAAATTAACAGCATTTGACGGAAATTTCATGTAGTTTTATAATATATGATATATGCACCTTTGAATCCTTGGATACCTTGGTTTTGTAAGAGAATTAATTTTTTGGACCCTTGCTTTTCAGCTATTATTGATGAAAACGTACCCTAGATCTGTTACTAACTGCTCTCGTAAGACTACAATGGCGTATATATGTTCTTATTCTACACCTTTTAATTAGCAAAAGCAGCAGTTTTAACAAATTCGGTGACATGACGAAAATTGGCAATTTTCATGACTATATGTATGGAAAAAGGTCGAAAAATCCTGGTGTTTGACTATGTTTTACAAATATTAACCAACAAACATATTTACAAATGCCTTAGAAAAATATTAAGCATAGTAATAAAATTATGAATAGAAGATAAAATAGATTATAAGTAAAGGATAAAAGATAAATTATATAAAGGCAAATATAAAATATAAAGAAGATAAAATTACCAGAAAAGAAATGTGAGATTTGAACAAAAAGAAACTGTTAATGGTAACCCTAGAGCCTTATGTTAAAAAAAAAATAATAAAAATATCTCCCTTCATATTTAAAATATACTATTTTTTACTTAAAAGCCTGGCTAAACCTAAACGAGATGTTGGCTAGAATGATAATAACAAATAACCAGAATTAAGAAACGGCATTATTCAACATTTTCGTATTATTTCAAAGCAGTACTAGAACGGAAATGGCAAGAAATAATTATTCCGCTTGTTAATTTTTATTGGGTGAGCTTCGGAGAACTTAAAGCGTCTAGTTAAAAACTGATATTTATTAAAATATTCAAAATAAATTATCATCGGGAAAAGGCAAGAACGACTCTAGCCTCTTCTCAAATAAAATTCTCCAAGATGGGTATAAATAAAATATTTGTTACTCTGGACGAATTTGAAAGTATAATGCAGAGAGTCTAAATCTAATGAAAGTGGTTTCCAACTGCGTTTAAGTGGTTCGATATCCGGGCTGTTATAACGTTGACGGATAACCTTTGGAACATATTCTAGAAACTATTGAACCAGCTACTATTAAAACTTTCCTTCCAACGCAGGCTATGGCCAAGTTTTTGAATTTATCACTGACGTGAGCGACATCACTCTATAAACAACTGTTAAGTTCGTGATCGTAGTTTTTTAGAAAATTTTAATGTTTCATAAAATAGCAAACTCATCGAAAAAAAAATAAAAAAAAGCGTCACACTAGCCATAGAAACGACAAAAAATATTAAGTCAAAAATTATGAATTAATTTAGTCTCAGGTTCAGGAAAAGTGTTCTAGCTTGTTAATTCGATCGTACATTTTATCTCCTGATCTGGATCCTATGTTTTGATAATCATGTTTTCACTAACAGCCATAAATTCAATTTTAGTTTTATAAACTAAACTTATCGAACATTTTTGAAAATCTGATTTAAAATATAGTAAAAAGAAAGCGTCTATGAGATCGATCGTTATCAATAATAATTAGATATTATCGAGTCGACCACTATACGTCATTTAATTAAAATTGACAGCAAAGTTATAGATGTCGATGGGACATCAGGAGTCCTATTTTAAGGAAAAATTAGCTTTTAACTGTTACTTTTGTCTGTGATTTAAAATAAAGTACCTACTAAAAAAATACGGAGTCACAGTAGTGTATGACATCGATCGTTATCGATGATATCGACTACTATAAGTCATTTATTTAAAATATAAATGAAAGCTTCTAAAAATCAATAAAAAAATAGTAGTTGTCAATCGTTTAACCAGACTTTATAAGGAACAATATCATATATCGTACTTTAAAAGCGAATTTAAAATTTGTTTGATAAAAAAGGAATAAAATAGCGGTTTGTAGAGTGTATCGGTATTTTTTTCTTAAAATGGACATCTCTGTAATAGAGTTGGGGTATCGTGTGTTTATCCGATCGGTGCCAGCCTCGGAAACTAGCCAATTTAACATAAATTCCTTTACCTACGAGATAATGTTCCAGTTTCAGGACAGAATGTGTCGGAGGGCAAGCCAATCTCGAGCGGCGCCCCGTCAAAGCCCGTCGCCGTCTTATCTACGACCACCCGAAAACCGTTTCTCCAGTCCCCGTTCCGTGTGCCCTGCTCCTGCTCCCAGGGACAGTGCGGATGCTGCACCGGATACATCCTGGACCGACTCAACCAAAAGGCCTGCGTCAATATGACCTACGAGCCGGAGGAATTCGCCGTCACTGCAGTCATGTCCCTCAACGGGGTGCCCTTTTACAAGAACTCCATTTCAGGTAAAACATTTTTATCGCACTGTGTACCGTTACCCCTTAGTTGCTCAAGCTCTGAAATCGCGCTCTCAATATACTCTGTTTTACGACTCAAGGAAGATGACAGAAAGGGCAGATAACGTCAATACCAATCTAAATAAATCCGTCACGAAAAATGACAGTTTATATTTCAATGTGCATGGAGTGACCGAACAATGCACGGATGCAGATGCGTATGAACTCGACTTAAGATTTTTGAAACATGTCAAATTAAAGGTTATTATTTCTGTCAAATTATGTTAAATAACCAGCGTTCTGGAGAATGATAAATATTTGCAATAGAGAAAGTAATAAAACAGTCCTTGAAATTTTCTTTCAGACATCCTTGTCCTCTAAATCCAGTTTCCTGAAACACCCAGTTTATTTTGTCGCAAATTTCTTACTAAAAACCCACGTTTTCTAGAATTTCTGCAAAATTTTGACAAAATGTTCCTGATTTCTTTTTTTTATTTTCTTTCTACGAGTTGAAATTAAAATCTCATTTCTTGGCCTCTTTCCTTAAAAGTTAAAATATCTTATAAATTAAAATACGAAATCTTTGAGGTTCCCTGTTAAAACTCCCCGTGAATAATTTGGTAATCCAGACGTTCTTAAGGAAAGGCGAATTAATTATCAGACCACATATTAAATGAGATTGCTGACGTATTAATCCAATTCACAGGAAGATTTGTATGATAGCCCTAATAAAATTTTCATTGAGCCCTGGTTCAGTTTCCACAAGTGTAATAGCTATTTATTAAGAGGGAGCTAATTCCTCGGGTGCTTGTTTAGATCCAGTCCTGAATTTTATTAGAGAAACACCCAGAGCGCTCAAGAAAATCACTTATTTCGCCAACCCCTGCTCTCTGCTCAAACACAAAACTTGTCTAAATAAAATAAAGTTTTTTCCTTTATTTTTGTTTTTAACTTTTTCTAGTATTTTTACCAGAGATTGTAGAATATGTCATTAGACATATAAGAAGTACTAAGCATACTTAAATGCCTTACTTAAAAGCCTTACTTAAAAGCATACTTAAATGCCTGTTTAAGTTGTAACGATTTCTTCGATAAAAAAGTATTTTTAAAATTGTATTTTGTTGTTATTATACCCCAGTATTTTTACCATAGTACTCGGAGTTCTTGCTATTTAAGTTGTAACGATTTCTTAGACAAAAGAGTTTTTATAACTCTTACTTTTGTTCTTAACATCCTCTAGTATTTTTACTAGAGAGTGTACAAGGAGCCATCCATGTCTTCAGATGTTGATGGAACATCAGGAGTACCAGTTCACTGAAAATCCTTCCTGTTTAACTTATAATGATATAGACAAAAAAGTTTTTTTCAACTCTTTATTTACAATTTCAAGATCCTCTAGTATATTTACCAGAAGGTTTGCAAGTTGCAAGATTCCATCTATGTCTTCAGATGTTGATGGAACATCAGAAGTACCATTTTACTGAGAGCCCTTCTTGTTTAAATTGTAATAGAGAAAAAAGATTTTAACTCTTTTTTATGATTTTAACAGCCTCTAGTGTATTTACCAGAAGGTGACTAAGAAGCCATCCATGTCTTCAGATGTGGATGGAATATAAAAATTACCATCGTACTCAGAGCTCTGTTTAACTTGTAACGATTTCATAAACATGAATTAATTCTAATCTTTACATACAACGGGTTTAATACCAGATTTCCACATTGTAATATTGCCCAGTCACTCAATTATTCCCTTTGGCCACAAAACTGCTATTCTAGCACTCTTTAATATAGAAAAACAAACAAACAGAATTTATTCCCTCTACAAACCAGCTTTAATTCATTTACGTCCACTTTTAAAAAATATTTGCGCAATGCCAGTTTGGAATTTCATTTAAAATATTCCGAATGGCAAACAGATACAGTTTAAAATGCCAATATATATATGTAGTTAATATAAACCGTAATAAAAAAATTCAATATTTTTTACATATATTTTAGCCCCGTACTCTCCATCAAATGTATAAATAACATCGTGTATGACATTTTGTTTGCGAATATAAAGCTGTAACATATATCGATCTAGCTTTTTTTAATACTTGACAGATATATCAACTTTAATATGTTTATAAAACCACTATGAAAATGTACATTTAAAACTTTCATTTCGTGTAATTAATACTGACTGTAATTTAAACTGATGCTGATTAATTTGTAGCGATTTTGCCAGTAATAAACCATTCGGTATCCCATTTTTAATAGTATTTCACTTTTTTTATTATTTTAACTGTATTACTTATACAGGGTGATTCACGGCTATTGCACGTTAAACGTTTAAGGAGAACCGGTGATTTTTGTATAAAATCCCCTGCTCCATCTGTTTCAATTACTTTAAGCATCACAGTGTTGTCGCTTCACACTAAAAGTTATACTTGGTAACAGTCATTGATATATCTCACCCAAAAGGTGTATAAGTTAAAACAAATAAAGTCTTAAATTCTTTAGTAGTAGTGAATCATTTTCTACTACATTCAAAGAAACAGCTATATATTTAGCAAGAAGCTTAAAGGGATATTTAGAATATTAGCAATTAAATATCAGTTAGGGTTATGCTGGAAACACCCACTAATTTGTAGCAACAGATAATTACATGAAATCTGCTAATTGATATTTCCAACACTAAGGGTTGATGTTTACGTACAGTAACGGCAATATCAATTAAAATCACACACGAGAACATACCCTACAGATATACTTTTAATTGTCAATTTTTTAGAAAATTGATCAATGTTTATTAATGTAAATTGTTTATTAAACACTGTTACGTTTTAAAAATGTGTTACATTATTTTTCAATATCAAAGGTAAAATATACTGGATGCGTCTCAAAAGTCGCTCAACCCTATATTCTTTTTATTTTTTCAGATAGAAAACGAAATTTGGTATGTTAGTATATGACATAAATTAGGATTGATCGACGTATTAAATTGTTTTTTGGTCACTTCCTGTTTCACCGGAAATGACTACAACTTTTAATTTTTAAATAGCACTCGCGGTATTTTTTACTTTATTCGTTAGAAAATGAATCTCTGACTAGAATGACATATCACATGTCAACTTTTGACATTTTCGCTTAAAAACAAATCTTATTTTAAATTTCAATCTAGAGTGCCATGGCTGTGTTTAAAATACTAATATTTAATCAAGGAGCTTTGAAAAAATAGATTGTCTAATATTTTTCGTGTCTTGTCCTGGCCGTTTAAAATATACCCAAATCGAATTTTTAATCATATCTCGATTTTTTTTTAAATGGAATAAGGGTAACTCATAAGCATATTTAGAAAAAGCATTTTTTTCGAATAATTTAATACCACACACTTTGTATTTTCAGTCAAATTGTCGTTATGAACCGCATGCTACAATTTCAAATAAACCATATTCGAAAAAGTAAAAAGTTCACACATGATATGTCATTCTATTCGGAATGTCATTTTCTATTGAATGAAGTAAAAATATACCGAGGGTACCATTTAAAAATCATAAGTTGTAGTCATTTCCGGTGAAACAGGAAGTAACACAAAAACAATTATTGAATACGTCAAACAATCCTAATTTATGTAAACTAAAGTAATCTCTGCAAAAAACCGTCTAAGATACTGGCTTGTGCCAAGGCCCTGAGAACGTATGATGAGTTGTAACTCAAGAAAGTGAAACACAATAATGATTAACTTTCCTCCTCCTATAAAATCTACAAGGTGTAAGAATAAAAAAAAAGTTACAGCAGACAGCGAGAAATGGGGTCCTATGTAGGAGTCTTTGTTATATAATTAATGCCGTTGTACTTTGTCATTCGTAGTCCCCAAAGTAAAGGGCTTAGAAATATACCTAACCTCAATTTTAACGAAATTAGTGATCATGTTATGGCTGTCGGACAATAATCAAATAGTAGCTCAACTGTCCAAAAGGCGAATCAGGCTTGTCAGCGCCCCGCAAGACACCTCGATGCGAATTTACATAAATTCTAAGTTTAAGGGTATATTCTCCAACCTTCTATCTATGCCTAATTCGATTAAACCGTTCCATGGGGAATGTATAACACGTCCCTACTGAAGATGTATCGATAAGGAGGAACCGTTTGTTTTACAGTTGAGGACGGCAAACAATGATTACTATATAACAAAATTACGCTATCACGAATTCAAATATTTTACTGGAATATGCAATTATTATTAATTAATACATTCTCTATTACTATTCAAAAGTTTAGGAAGTATAGTATATTTTTGAAGTGCACCTCGAAATGCCTTGATTTTTTGTTTTAAAAATATTTAAATATCCTAATATTAATAGAGGAACTTTAATTACGAGTATGCTTGTAGTAAAAATAGTTGAGCTACAAAATATATATTTCATGGAATCGCATTAGTCCTACCACTATCATAGAATATTAAATAACTAAAAGTGATTTATTTGTTGTTTCCATTAAAATTAATGTGAAATACAATCTAAAACAATGCAATTAATTTGAAGGGATAATGTCAATGCTAAAGTGTTTATTTACGTATAATATTACGGCCGTAAATACCGCTAATATTTAATTCAGCACAGATATATTATTTTATCTAGCAATAATAATTTTATTTTTTTACCGCAATACCAAATATAATAATGTTATAAAATAGAGTTGCCAAATAATTAAAATTTTAATGGGAGATTATTAAAATATTACTGTTGTTTTTTTTAATTAAATAGAGTTGTTTATTTTTTTTAGAAAGATAAGTAATATCATTATGTTTAATTTCTTGAAACACTTTAAAATGGTTAAATTATTTAAAAAAATATATTTAAATTAAATTTTACATATTAAAAATATTAAAGGTTTATTCAGAGTTAATGAGAGTGTTTTATCGAAACAATTTTGAAAAGTTCAGCATTTTCAGGAAATTTTATGTAGATTTAGAAAATATACAACATTGAAGGCCTTGTCTTTGTGAGAAAATTATTTTTTTTAAT